AGATGAGGGGTAATGGATATCGATTTTTAATTGTCATCTTGTTTAGTTTGCGATAGTCTTGAACAGGTCGCAGTTTGCTGTCTTTCTTTTTCATGAAAAAGAACAGCAATGCCATAGGGGATTTGGAGGATCGAATATATCCACTGGATAAATTTTCATCAAGGAACTTGTTGAGTTCCTGTTGTTCCAGATTACTGAGTGGATACGTTTTGCAATCCAGGTTGGCATTTGCATTTGGGATTAACTCGATCGCATGATCCCAGGGCTTGGAGTTCGGTAACTCGTCAAAACTCTCTTTTTTGAAAAGGTCCTGATAATCACATGCCCACTCCAGGACCATTTCTTCGAAAGACTCTTCTTCCCTCTCTTCATGGGCTTTGGCTGCTAGATTATTAGCATGGTGGACTGCCTGGATGTGTATCTCCTCCTGTAGATCTATGGCAAGGATGGTCTCACTGTCCTCCATCTCCTCATCCCATCTATCCTCGGGATCCTCATCAGATAATTCAAATGGAATCTTCCTGCACTGACACTGGGCAAAGGTGATTTGTCTGGTTTTCCAGTTTATCAAGGGATTGTGCTGTATTAACCAATCATGTCTTAGGAAGATTTCCTTCATTCTGAGATCTGTTATGGCCAGATCTAACTGTTCTGAGTGATCTCCGATTGTGAGTCGGAGTTTGACAAATTCAGTGATAGACCTGGCCTGATTCTTTGTCCCATTGGCATTGTATACAGGGATAGGTGCTGCTGTTGCTCAGGTCAGGAGTTTGTGTTTGTCGACGAAGGCCCGGTTTATTGAGCTCCCGGTACATCCACTGTCAATCAGGGCAGTGACTGAGTGTAGGCTGCATGCAGTCAGGGTTTCAATCTGGGCTTTGGTGGTTAGGTCTCGCCCAGGAGTTTTTGAGCGACAAATAAATTTTCGGGGTCCATGTAGTTTGTCGAGCCACTCGAGAGCCTTTTGTCACTCTGCCTCTTGTATTCCTTCTATATTTTCACTGGTAGCCTCTTCAACTCAGGTTTTATGGACCCAGTTGGTAAGCACTGCTCTGGTGGCTTCTTCTGTCCCTGCTTCTCTGATGGCTCGCCAGGTCCATTCAGTGTCAAATAGTTTGAGCCAAGTTTTTGGGCTCTCTGCCCTTGTTCGGCCCAGGGGCATTTGAGTTTTGTTCGACAGTTCATCAGTGTGTTTGTTAAGCAGTCCAGGTATATTCGAATGCATATGTGATATTTTTGTAACTACAGGAATTTCATAAGTCTGGCTAGTGGTCATGGGGGGCACATCTATTGCTTTCTTGGCCAGTCCAGTGGAATTGTTCACTGACTGGCCATGTCTTTTACTTCTTCGATCTTTGTCTCTGGCCCCAGTCCTTCTTCTTCCTTTTGCAGCTTGGCGATCTGGGCCCTGATGTCTTCACAGGTATGCTTCTTCTTTGGGCAGTCCTTGGCCATGTGGCTCTTCTGCCCACAGTTGAAGCATTTCCCTTTCTTCTTCATTCAGTCGATGTCCATCGGCTTTCCAGTACTGGTGTATATCGTCCCAGTTCCAGTCTTTTGACTCCCATAGGTCGGCAGCTGAGGGGATCCCAATGATTTTCCAGCAGTTTGCCCTGACTTGTTCAGGGTTGGCAGGGTCAGTTTCTTGAGATAGTCTTGCAGTGTCGATGCTTCTGCTTTCTGCCTTTGTTGCTCCTTGTACATCTCGATGATTCTCTCCTTTCATTCATCGTATCTGACTGGCATCAGCATTCTGATGCCCATTGCAGAGATCATCATGAGATATGAGGAGAGGACCCCTTGCTTGAGTGCCTCGACCATCCTCCCATCATTTGCGACATCTTCCTGTATTCTGGCTAGTTTGGTGAGCTGTTCTAGCTCATCGAAGTAATCTGTTGCCACTTTGTCCCCCATCTTATACTCCTTGATCTTCTGTTTGTGTACTTCTTGTACCACCAGATCAATGAATTTGTTGTTCAACATGCATTTGAAGACCAGCCATGAGGGGTATCAGTAGTGACCCCTCGTGGTGGATCGGAAGTTTGGGGAAATGAGGATCCACCATGTTTTGGCCTTGTCTTCCAGGTAGGAAGTGGTGAAGGCGACCTTGTTCATGTTGGTTCCTAGGTATCCAATGTAGACCTTGAAATATTGTTTGCAGTCCACCAGGAACCGGTTGATGTCATCAGATACCCCTTTGAAAGGGCAGGGTTTTCAGAGGAGGTCGGGATGGCACTGAAGGATGTTGGCATTATTTGGTAAGGTGCCCATAATATTTGGCCATCTGTCAAATGGTGGTTGATTCCATTCCACTGGTGGTCCTGGGAATGAATGTAAAGAGTGGTTGTTGGCGACTGGGCTTCCTCTGGGTTTGTTGGCCCATATGATTACTCTGTCTCGTATGGTGAACCCGAGATGAATGGCTTTGGGTCATCCTGTATTGGTTCCTTCCCCTTCCCACTTGGTCCGGCCTGGTCCAAGGGTGGCTGTCCCCCCAGGAGCTGGCTTCCTTTGCTAGTCTAGGGGTTTGGGGGCATAGTCGGCTGTGCTCGGGATCAGGTTAGCCATGTTGCCATTGCTTGTGCGGAGTAGTTGGACGTTGTTAGGATGCTTTGGACCGAGGGTGCCTGGTATGTGGCATGTCTCAGATTGATGGAAGGAGTTTGTGGCATTGGTTGTACAATGGTTGCCACTTGGTAAGCCAGTGGTTGGCTGATCAGATATTTGGGATGTTGGTTGTTATACTGCTGGGTGGCATAGTCTATAGAAGCCTGTTTCAAAATTTCTGCTTGTTCGTTAGGATTTGAATGTAAATATGACTGTCCTATAGAGGACGCTACCCAGGTAGCATCACACCATAAGAAATTTATCTCTCACAGGTAATACTCTTGGTATTCCCACTCCTGCTCTTCATGTGCCAATCTTTTTACCTCTTCTTGGTCTGTTTCTTCCAATGAGTTATATGGCGGTCCTCTTGGGGGTTCACTGCTCTCCATTCCTTCTTCCTCATCCTCGTCATCCTCCTCTAGGAGGGAAGCAGTGGGCTGGTCATAAAAACTCTTGGCCCCTTCTTGTTGTATCGTTGTTACACTGCCCTGACTGGGAGCTTGGTCCAGCAACTGAAGGGCCTGGTGTATAGTTATAGGAGGGGGCCAGCTGGCTCCCAACATCGGAGTCATAGCGATTCCCTCCTGTAGCTCTTGCTGCCACCACTCGCTCATGATAGAGGTGCACGTTTCACTGGTAATCATGGTTGTCAACAAGTTGTCTGACCACCCTGCTTCTAAGAAATCCTCAGAGGGCATGGGCAGAGATATGGGTGTTTCCAGGGACTCGAAGTCTGTAGTGTCTGAGGATGGACTCGTCGCTATCAAACCTGGTGTCAGTGCTGGGGGTTCTGCAGGGAGGGGGATACTGGGGAGTCAGGGGTCAGAGGGGGGAGCCTGCAGTGCTTCCTTCTGCTGCTTGGGTTTCTTCTTGGTATCATTGCTTGCTCCAGACACTGGTTCCAGAGCTGGGCTCTCAGAAGATGGGGGTTGAGAAGGATGGGTCGGTTCATACTGGGGTGAGGATGCTGGCACTCTTGGGTTATATTCCATACCAATTGGAGATGTTTGTGCAGGCCAAATGCTCTCTTTCGACTTCTCGCTGCTGATTTCTGTTCTGCTCATCGTACTCTGTGGCCTCCCACCTTTGCTGGTCCTCCGTCACCTGTGAGCCATGCTCACCACATACTGGCTGCGGCTCATTTCAAGACCAATGCTCTTTCTGCCAGACAGCATCATCGTAGTTGAAGAGGATGGTAAGGTCCCAAGTGGGGAAGTACCAGTGTATGGTCTCGCCCCATATTCATTGTCGTTCTTCACTGTTTTGGTCACTCCCCACCCAGTGGCCATGCTGGCTAGGAGAGGGGGTGCTGTGAGGCTTGCTAGCAGGTGTGACCAGTTGGGATCTTTGAGCCATCCTAAGGGCATCAAGAGAGTCCTGGGCATGGTCAGCAATCCCATGGATACAGGGGGCAGAAGAGGGGTCAGGGGAGGGGGACTGTTCAAAGAAATCTTCAGGGAGGTTCTGGTCCTCACCATGGAGGACCACATCTGGTACAAAGATTCCTTGTCATCTTGGGATGCCAGTGTGCTGACTTCTCGATCGAGAGGGCTGTTGTCCTCCCATTTCTTCCTGACCATCTCTCAGATAAGGGCTGCTAGGCCCGGCTTCTGGGGGCTGGTAGATCATTCATCAGGATTTGGGGATGTCATGAAGTGGGAGATCAGAGGTTATGTTTCGTAGTATCGTTTGAATGTGCTGAAATTCCTGGTAATGTCTGAGAGCCCAGGCGGTGATTGAGTGGCATCCTCAGCACAGCTGGATGATCACCAGTAATCCTATCAGTGTTCCGATGATGGAGAAAAGGAGTTCAAAGAACTCGTGGTCAAAGTTTGGGTCAGTAGAGGTTGCAGGGGGCATTCAGTTTCTCAGCACAATTGGGCTTGAGAAAGGGAAGCTAGAAGCCTCAAGCTAATTGTTAGGCTCAGACAACATGTGATGGACTGACACATGGTAAACCAATGTGGCTTCGCATTCGAGCCTTCTGTCAGAGTCCTCGTTCTATCAGTCACAGGGTGTTATCAAGGCATATAGTATAGCTCAAGAGGAGAATGAGTGTTTATAAACTTTAGCTTGAGGCTGGTGTATACCAGCAAGAGCTGTGGGTCTTAAATACTATTCTGTGTGTACTAATAATACTCCTACTTATTGTGCTCTTCTGTGTTCATAGTGCCCATTGTCCTTGAGTGTCATAGTTGTATATAATAGGTTGATTGTGTGATCAGGCTATCCATTGTCAGGTCGAGTTAGTTGTGATGACTAAGCCCTTTCCACTGTTCAAAAAAGGAGAAATGTTCTGACTAAGCATAGGGGTTAGAGAAATGAAATGAATGAATCATAACAATCTGCTTATGACACACCACTTGTTATTTTGGCTGAGTCAGCAGAATTGCTCACTGCTCAGCCCCATCTTTTACCTCCTCAACCTTTGTCTCTAGACTGAGGTCCTCTTCTTCCTTCTGTAGTTCAGCAATCAGTGCCCTGAGATCTTCTTGGATGTGCTTATTCTTCTTCTGCAGGCAGTCCTGCACCATGTGGTCTTTCTGGCCACAGTTGAAGCACTTACCCTCCTTCTTGAGCTGATCCACATCTATAGGCTTACCCATTCCAGTAAATGTTGTGCTCATACTGGTTTTCTTCTTGCTATAGGAGGAAGTTGGAGTTGAGCCATCAGGCTTGGTGGATGTGTTTGAACTGGAGAAGGTATTCTTCACTCCTTGCTCCTGTTGTTTCTGTTCTGATGAGGACAGAGTTGTTGATTTAGCCTTCTGCTGCTATCATTCTCTGTACATAGTAATGATCTGTTCTTTCCATTCATCATACCTCTTTGGGATGTCATGGCCAATATCTGAGATGATCTTTAGATAGGAGGGCAGGGCTTCCATCTTCATGTGCTCAACCATTCAGCTGGTGTTCACAACATTATTGCAGACTCTGACAAGTTTGCCAAGTCACTTGAGCTTGTCAAAGTACTTAGTGGCCAGTTTGTTGCCCATCTTGTACTCCTTCATCTTCTGCTTATGAACTTTCTGAACCATGGGATTGGTGAACTTGTTGATCACTATCTGTTTGAACACTGGCCACAAGGGATACTGGTGATGTTGTCATGTGGTTGACCAGAATGTGGAGGCAAAAAGCATCCACCACATTTTCACCTTGTCTTCAAGATAGGTGGTGGCAAATCCAACCTTGTACTTGTCCATCATAAAGCATAGAGTGTAGACTTGGAAGTATTAGTCACAGTTGATGAGAAAATGGTCTATATCATCAGAGGCCCCTTTGAAGGGGCAGGGCTTCCATAAGAGATCCAGTTGGCAATTGATGACTGCTGCATTGGTGGTAAGAGTGATCATAGAGTTTGGGATCCCATCAAAGAGCAGAACATTCCAGATCATCAGGGGCCCTGAGAATAAATGGAGAGAGCCATCATCAGCAACAGAACTCTCTAGTGGCTGTGCTTTCTTGCACATGATATGCCTGTTCTCAATGGTGAAACCTAGTTCCACTGCTTTGGGGTCATCCCCTGTGCCTTTGGGAGTCTTCCCACTTTCTTTGGCTTTGTTGGGTGGGAGTCACCTGATGAAGAGTTGGCACATTGGCTGTGCCCATGGGTTCTGATAAGGGTCTCTCAGCCTGAGTCAGCTCTGTGTGAGCCAAGATGCCATGCTGCAGATGGCCAAGGTGGCAAACATATATCAGAATGAGCTGCTTCAGATTGAGAGTGCCATATATATGGTATGACTTCATGCTATGCTTGATGTCCACAGCATCAGATGTCTACAGCACATGGTGCTCTATCTGCTCTGCTGCTCTGGCTGCATCTTGCCAGTATCATTCTTCTTCACTCCCATAGTCAAAGTATTAGTCATCAGTTCTGATGACCTCTGTTCTTCCTCCCTCACTATCAGTGCTCTGGTTTCCAATATATAGCTCTGCAGGAAAGCTTTCTCCACTTCCTGTTGGAGTAGCATATAAGGACTCATGTCCATTGTTGGAGAAAGTGCTTCAGACCCTTGAAGCCACCCTAGAGGCATCAAGAGAGTCTCTGGCATGGTGTCTAATGCCAGGCTCAGAGGATGCAGTTGAGGGGGTTGCCCTCATCATATGGATATTGCTGGGGACATCTGGATGCTTGACTCATTGGACTAGCATGTTGGTTCTTGGCCTTCAAAATTCTGCAACCCAAGGGTTGCTAGGGTCTCTGATAATTGCCATCAGGGGTCAGAGTGGGTATCTGTGCTGTGTTTCTTTCCCAGGATGCTCTTCAGGCATGTCTCCAGAGACAGTTTCAGGTACAGTTCCTTCTGTGGGCTGGAAGGACTGTCAGGCAGAGAGAGGGATGTCATGAAGGGGGAGGTCAGAGGTGACATTGCATAGAATACATCTAATATGCTGAAATTCTTGGTAGTGTCTGATGGCCCAGATGGTGATTGATTGGCATCCACAGCACAGCTGTATGATCACCAATAATCCTAACAAAGTTTCAATGATAGAAGTGAGAAGTTTGAAGAACTCATGGGTGAAGTTCAGATCAGCAGGGTTGATGGCAGAGGGTATCTGGTTTCTCAGCACAATTGAGCTTGAGAAAGAGAAGCTAGAAGCTTCAAACCAATTGTTAAGCCCAAATGACACATGACCTAAACATGTAATAAACTGACACTGCCTTACACTTTGGGCAATGATGTCAGAGTTCACTGATTATATTATGTGGCTTTGTATCACAAGGCCTTTGGATTGGCTCAAGGTAAGATGGTGAAGAAATAAACTTTAGCTCAAAGCTGAGAATACTACAGCAAGAGCTATGCTACTTACATACTAGTCATCATCCATCTACAGATATAACTATGTAATTGTGCATCCTGGCATCATAGAGTGTTTTGTCTAGTGTTGTTAAGCTACCTACAAAAGGGTATTGTCTATTGTCAAGTGGTTACTGTCATGTTGAAGGAGAATGACCAACTGAGTGTGTTGTGATGACTAAGCCCTGGTCCCACGGTCCTAAGTGCTGGCCTAGATGCTCTGACTAAGCAAAGATAGGAGTTAATCCCTTCAATAAAAGATAAAAATGAGGAAAAATCATAACAAGAAGGTTCCAAAAAGATGGTGGACTGCTGCTAAGAGAACCTTGACAGCAAGAGAGCTCCTACTCAACTTAGAGGTTTTCTGAATATCATCTGCACTATAGGCTCAGCATCTGAAGTATGACAACTAAACAAAAACTTAGATATTGGTGAAGCACTATCTGATCCAAGGTGTGGATATAGACCAGCATTCCATATGTGTATTCTTTCCTCTGGCATCAACCAGACTGATTTAATGGTGAAAGGGAATTCTGTGAACCTGTTCCTCTGGATCAGTGCCACCTTTGTGAGCATCAATCTCATTGTCCACATATGTTCAGATTCAGCCATCACAAGAGTCCTTGAAGATACCTAATTTCAGCTTTAATATAGTCCTCAACCATGCTCAAACTCTCTATCTCCAGTGTTGGGATTTTGCTGAAAAGCTCTAGAAAGGGCAATCCAGCATCATGCCAAGAGTTGATGAGTAAGCTCGAGAGAAAGAGAAAGTTGTAGTAAATTCTAGATATAAGTCTGGAGAGTATAAATACAAGCTCTATAGGAGCTGTAGAATAGGAGTTCATACCTTCTGGCCTTACCAGCCTGGAGTCTACCCTGCACATCACTGAGGATTCCCAACATCCAGGAACCTGTGTATATCTTTACATATGATCTCGAGGGCATCGGTCTTTCCCTTGCCAATGGACAAAAAAGGATTGCCAGTGACAGAGTCATGGAAGCCAATTTGTCACTGGATATTGTTGATCAGGATTATTGATCATATTCAAATCGCATGGATCCTGTTTTGTAGTGGCTGCTCCTGATCATTGATGATCTCACTCTCAACTTTGATGCAGAGAGTTCTTCTTTCTTCACTAAAGATTGTTAACAATCACCTGGAATTACCCAGTGTCATGGCCTCATCTCAACAAATGCTATCTGCCACTGCATCCTCCAATGACTCTGTCTCTCTCGCCTTGGCCCACCAACAACAGAGCAGAATCAGATGTCGACCTGGTGGCTATCACCCCGTTCAGATAGGCGATAATCATTCTGGTGCATGGTACTCAATAACTGGCAAACCAGGATGGGGAGAATATTCAACTGTCTGGCTCGCACACGACAATGATGCAAATATGCAAGTCTGAACCCTATGTATGTCTTTGTGACTAATACCATACGCAGTTATGTGGCGCTCATGATCATGACTGGTGCACGTCTATACTATTTCATTTCCTTTAATGCATCACTCGTGAATATTCCTTGAGGATCCATGTGCCAGTGATGTGCGAATGTTGGTATGGGGAGAGCGGAGTTGTCCACAGTGCGTCAGACAATGGGACAATTGTGGTTACTAGCATGACATCTTCACAGCGAAGGCTCGCACTCTTTTCTCACTTCATTGCGAGTAATCACGACCTGCCTTTATTATGTCGAGCGGCATGCAGGCCTTGTCCATGCCCGTTTAGTCTAGATTTGCGGCTGGGAAATGTGTAAATCGCACCTCCTCTCTGCGGCAACATTTATGGCATCGTCTTCTTTCATGGAAATTTCAGCTTCGCCATCCCGCTTGTCAGAAGCTACAGCCGGAATAGTGGACGGAGCACGAGTGCCACTAGACGAAAAAAGGCAGGATTCCATAGTGAGCGTAAATGGGGAAAAGTGAGCTCGTCGTGAAAACATCGGTTGGTCTTTATATCCCATGGAATCTTTGCTTGCAGCTACTTGCTAAACATTGACATAGATAGTCGGAGGATCGAAGGATTTTCGAATTAAGACCCAAATGACGATAAATTTCTGTAAACTCAATCTGGCTACTTCACCCTGCAGATGCTAATTGCTAAATGTCTGTGTGACTTCAAGTTTTTGATCACAAGCTTCGGTTCGCATTTCCGGGGAAAGACAAGTATAAAATCAATTTAGCGGATCTACGGATACAAATCTGAATACGGTGCTGAGGGACTTCATCAAAGGAATATAAATTTAGGTCCTGAATAAGTGCTGTATGTCACTTCGGCGAAAGATCGTGAGCATATCATGGGTAGTGATAGCGGCTTCATGTCCTGTGTCGAACGCTATTGACAAGTATTGCCGGACGGCATATACTTGTAACAATCAGAAAATCGACGTCGTTGTCGTCTACACTTTGAAGCAGTGCGATAGAGACAACGCGCCTGGCATTTTAGTTTCTGCTCCAATAATCTCTATTCCATCCTCTCCACAACCATGGCCCGAATCCCGGAAGTCACAGCTGATAGTCACGTGTACAGGGTTCATCATCAAGTTGCGTTGATACGAGCAAGAATAGCTGTGTTTACTCCTTCCACAGGACAAGCTGTCCCTGGCCTCTCCGCCAGGCCCTCACGTCGTCCGACATTATGGTTAACCTCGAAAAAGTCTGCCATGACCCGGAGGACATAAGGCCCTCCGCGCTGGCTTTTATCGCTCACGGCGGATTGGGTGGAACAATGGATTCTCCGGTTACAGCCGCCCTTGCTGAAATTCTCCAAATATTGGGGGCCCGAGTGATTAGATGGAATGCGCGTGGGATAGGCCAGAGTAGCGGAAGGTCCGAATGGTCTAGTTGGCCGGCGTGGGTAGGCCAGGATAATTGCTCGGATTACAAGGTGTGTCGTTACCTACAATCATCTCCTATACCAGTTAGCGACGTAGATATGTAACAGGACATTTTCCGGGAAGAAGTCGTACGATTCCTGGACGAATTCCCTTATGCCCGTGACTGTGATCTACTCGTTTGCGTGAGCGGCCTTTTTCTCGTGTCGTATTTTCTTCTAACTGTTGGGTAAGGGATACTCCTGTGGAGCTATTTATGCCACCACCATTCGTATGCCAAATGACCTCGCAGATCGATGCTCAAAGATATTCAACCCTATCCGATACATCCTAGTATCTTACCCAATCGCTGTTTCTCCCGTTCTCGGTCTCTTCAGGACGGGGTGGTACTTCCGTGCACTGGAAGGTCTCATTGGAGGCTCCTGGGAAGACTGTCAACACGAAGCACACGCGGATGTGCTCATCCTGATGGGTAAAACAGAGCTCGGATGGAAGTTATCGCCAGTGCGGATTTCGTATAATATATGGATGAAAGTACTGAATAGCAAGAGGCGCTCAGAACAGGGAAGGTTTGAGGCTATTGTCGTTGATGGGGCAAATCATGTTTGGAGGGGTAAGCTGTGGGCGCTCAAGGAGGAGGTGGAGAAATGGCTATGATATTGGGTCCACATTTAATGAGCTGCAGAGACTTGGTTCAAGGGTGCAGACTTCTGGGGAAGCTGGGTTTCCCTCGGAAAGGAGATACTTACCAAATGACAAGGCATTCCGTGGAGGCTCTGAATTACAATGAAATCGAGAAGTAGATGAAACTTTGCATCGGAGATGATCGACGGAAGCACTATCTTCTACTCCTAGCACATATTATTCTTGCCTTACAGGAGACTTCGGGTAGCGCGATGGCTGGAAAGACGAAGAGGGAAGTTGTGAAAGTATAAGTATGACCACCCGCAGATCACCGTTATGTGTATGATGAAAAAAATGAACTAGCACTGTTCGATGCTGTTCTGACACCCTGGAAAATAGGCACGGGGAAAACACGCCATGATACGTACAGTTCCTGGGAAGACCGTCCATTTCTATACCATTTATCCCGAGAATACAGACGATTTTACGACTACAGACGGACTGGGCAGCCACAGGACGAAGTCGGAGCTTCTAGCACGTCGAGTCGGAATAAGCACACGTTTTCGTTAGCAAATTTGTTTCGGTCATGTAAAGCAGGTGATAAAAAACCCACAGAGTAGGAACATTATCAACGTTCTAATTTACTACCGAGGTGATAGCCTCGCGAAGCCCGTAGAAGATAGATTTTGACTCTTGAGAGTAGAGTCAGGCTCAGGGACTTCGGCCCGGACATTCCAGATGGCCAACTGGCTCTGTCAAGTTTCTCACGATCCAGAAGGTTAGCTGCCTCCTGTCAGGTTTAAAAGCATACCCGTCATGAACCAGACAGTCCTAAGTGTTTCATCGACCCCAGTACGCGGTAATTTCCGTTATATCGGGCCCCGGTCCTCAACACATCCCTTCAGTGACTCTTTGAACTCTTAATTTAGGTACGGTGAGAGTCTCGGTGCCTTGTGACAGAATCTTTCTGATCACAACAGATATAGTCGGACGCCAACTAAATTGAATTCCTTTCTAAAATTTTCGCAGTGGGATCCTACGAGTTTTCCAATGAACATCTTTCTCCTGTCCGGTGGGTTCCATCAATCGGTACCCTGACTTCTTGGTTTCTTGATTCTAGGAATACAACCCTCAAGATGAAAAAAAGAACGCATCAGGAGTGAACCCCTCTACGCATGGTGCTCTCATGACTAAGAGCGCAATGCATCACCACACTTGGAAGGCCAAGCGGAGCGCCCAGCTCCGCTGTTATAGTGAGGCGAGGACAATTCCATTTGTTCGTTTAGCCTTCCGCCGATAAATCAATAAGCAACTGACAAATTTCCAGCTCAGGAGTGGAAGTATATGAGAGTCTTCAAATAGCCGTCTCTGGAGTACCCCGTTTACGGAAGCTTCGTCATATCACGTTGTCGGCAGGACAATTCTGCGGTTCCTTCCCACTGGTTTGAGGTTCTCAACCTTCTTGTTCTTCTTAGCTGTCAATCATCTCTGGGAACTGCGGAATTACGTCTTCATCTCAAAGGCACTGGCGGCAAAGGCCATTGGCTTTCGGGTATTGTTTCTCTGCGCTACCCACTGCATATGTTTTCCTTGAGGTCGCCTGTGCTACTGTATCGACTTAAGTATCAACGACGCGATGTGCCGACCGCTAATTCAAACAGCCCAGAGTTCATCGGACCTTAGGTGCTAATTATCCCCTTGGATGAGTACCATAAGGTGGGAACAATTATACCATCATGAAGGTGCGGCTATTTAATTGAAAATTAACTTTTGCCGCCCGTGGGTTTCGTCAGCGTTACCTTTCAACGCCCAGTCCGGAACCGAGGAATGAATTTCGCCGATGAGCACATCGTATAGGGTACGAAATCAGGGATATCTCTATGTCTAGTGGCAATCGTGTTCGAAGCTATCCGGCGATTCAATGCAAATCTTGATCCTAGATCGATGACTCCTTGGTTGCCGGACTTGAATTCCCTTAACTTCTGCTCCTGCTTTTCCATATTTTCCTTCCAACCATGTACCAGTTTCCAGTCAGTGACCGAAAACGACTTCACAAAGGAAATACGCCGACTCTACCGCAGACAAACTACTGCCAGCTTTGTTCGGCCAAGTTCACTAGGCCCACCCACTTGAGGCGTCATATTCGTTCTCGTAAGCGGCATCTCACCTCCTTGCGATGTAGACTCATCTCATCTCGACAGATACCAACGAACGTAGTCACCAATGCGATGTAGGCGAAACCACCTAGACGATTCTTCGTCGTACAGACGCTCATCATCATTGCAGCTGTGTGGTGCTCAATTTACCAGAAGAGACGTTCTCTCGTGACACAAGAAATCCTGTAGAGATCGGTGAGTATTGTTTTTCAAGCCGACTACGCGGACACTGACTTCGGGCGGAAGTATGACATCCAGTCGTTCGAGACAGAAGTCTTGTCAGGTATGTCACCGATTTAGCACCCGCTCTTGCGCAGGCTGACGGTTCCATAGGCATGTGCCGCCGCCAAAGTTAAATGTGATCTCCAGTACCCATGCTCGAGATGTGCTTCACGCCAAGGACCATGCATCTTCCTTAATGATCCTGCCGTTTCCCGAGAGAAAAGGCGTGATGCCAAGGAGCGTCGTATGAACTCCAGTGCGGACTACCGTCAAAGCTCAGCCGAGACTGTTTCCGATTCTTGCCTTTCTTCAACTCCCTCCTCCTCGGCCTCAGACGACACTTTGTCGCCTACATTTTGCACCTCGCCAACCATTCCTGACACCAAGGACCTTGGTTGCGCGGAAGCGGTCTGGAAAATATTTCACGCCGATTCGCACCCTTATTGTTCATCCTCGACCTCCAACCAAAAGTACATGGATTTTTCGTGGTTGGGCTCAGACGATGGGTCCGGAGATGACGATAGTTATTACACTTCCGTCCTGCATTCCGCCCTGGTTCCTCATTGTGTATCGACTAACACCTATCTCCCGCTTCCATCGTTAGATGCTACCGGCGTTAGTATGTATGATATCGTTGGCGCGACGACGACCTTGTAAATAAACCATAAATCATTTTGTGCACATTTCAGTTCTTTCTTCAGTTACTAAGAATACCGAAGGTCCTTCCAGATGGCAGGTAACAGGTATATAGGTAGCTATATCGTCTTTCATGCGGTATCCTTGCCCAGTAAGACAGCTCAATACTGGCGACAAAATATTCCTAAATCTCGTTACAGTCTAGTTTCACAAGGGCGTCCGTCTTCGATGAATTGAATGCGAAAGTGTTCCAGACAGCAGTCGACATACGTCGAGAACAGATGTTTACAGAATTAGAATGATGGAACATGTGTCGATCGTAGTCACCGACAGCTGTTGTGCCCCGCCTTTGGCGGAAAAACACCAAAATGATCTTGCAAGATTCTGGATCTTCCAGATCTTGCTCCGTGTGACGAGCACGGGCCTGGTACCAGATTACCAAATTGCAACTCGGGACGACCGAGCTTCCTATACATATTGTGCATCGCTGATCGCCGTTAATTTCCATAGTCCAGTCTTTTTGTTGACTGGACCAGCTGGTTGGACGTCGCCATCAACAAGGTGGTCAGACGGACGAAAGCTTAGTAGTGGGTTCACTTTGGGCCAATCCATACAGTATTCAAAGGAGGGGATGTGAATGCATCGCGCTTTCTTCCATGAAAGATGCAATGTATGCGATCTTCGTGTTACCGTGCGACCGTCCTAAGACCGACACGTTCTTGAACGCTAGATTCTTTCACCGAGATGTCGTAAGGGATCCAGCCGCTCTTCACTGCACTCGGAACTTCCAGTTACCATCGATTCTGGAAACTAAGGTTATTTTGCATAAATGCTCGGGCTTTCATTTCCCAATTTTGAAGCTCAGCAAGATTAGATAGCAAGTTTGTGATTTGATACACAAATTAAGACACAACCGCAATGAGTCGCAGACAGTCACAGATTGGTCGTGATGTCCTTGGTTCCGCTTGAGATATGCCTTACCATTAACGAAGTCGTAGCGTTCTCCAGCTTTGTAACTCGGTGACAAAATCACAGCTGCGCCCGCCTGGCGCCTTATACCACTGGCATTTGTCAGCGTTATGACTTTGGCGCCGCCGCTTCCCAGCACAAAGTTCTCCCGAATCTATGACCATCATTTGAACCCATAACTTCGCTCGTTCTATACCCTCACACCACGGGGAGCGCCAGGATGCATATATGTGGGGGTGAGTCGTCAGCTGCTTCCCAGCCATTTCTCATTTACTTAGCTTCTGTATCTGAATCAGTTCAACAGTATTACTCAATCAACGCGACGTCGAGGAGCACCGTTCTTAGACCGGGATGTTAGATCCTACCGCTTGAATCGCAGAAGCCTGTAAAAGAAGAAGTCTGAGGAAAACCAGATCTTCCGGTAGACGTGACACGTCACTCAGGCAAATTGTAACAGCGAGGTGGGATGTTGTCGAGACGGTGTTGATTCGGCATCCGGGGACTCGCCTTATGAATTGGAGAAAGAACCCAAGTACGTACGCATAGGTCCGTAAAGAGCATTCGCTCCATCTTCGTTACGTTCGTTCCCATATCGACTCATGGTGGCTCTCTTGCCCGCCGGCAATTCTTCAGAACATGATGATAATCTTCGTCAAAAAATCCGGCAGTGAATTCGATCTCCCGTCGAGGATCGCTCCTGGACGGTGATTGATGATCCGAGGGGTATGCCATGGAGAGAAGGAACAGTCTTTCTGTCGTTGTGGCGGGAGAAAAATTGAGGATGTAAAGGACTTCTGGGTTCAAGAGACACGTCATATTCATCCAGGTCAACGTCGTATTGGCGAAAGAAACAAGATCAACTGTGAAAGACCCATTAGACAGAAAAGCGTGACAGATGGTACACACACTCACATTATATGGTACCAAATTTTACACGCCCCTTTATGCAGGCAAATGAACGACCGCAGGGGTTGCAAAATGAAAGCAAGGACGAAGGAAATGAGGAGTGCTGTGCCCAGCATTTCTGGGATCGTCGAATAGGCGGATCTCTAGTGGAAGAGAATTACGTCTAGGACATGGGAAGCGTTCAAGTGAATGTACCCATAGAAAGAAAATGGTGGGCAACGCAGTCAAGATGCCATTTCTCCTCTTTGTATGTCTAGAACGGTCCCATCACGATTGGACTGTGCACAGCAGATGGCTCTGTCATCGATGTTATTCATGTGTCCTGGGCTGCTGTTCCTTGTTTGAGATCGAAAGAGGCTACGCTGCTGTGGGAATCTAAAATATCGTTTTGGGGCCAATGATTGGAGCAAAGAAACGCGTGCACCTCGGAAATCTTTGGATACCCCGACATAGAAGATATCAGTCCAGTTCCTTCTTGACGGGGGTAGAAAGCACGTCGAAGCGGGACGAGGTTGGACTGGTGGCGGAAAGGGGAGAAGCGGAGCGAACTCGGCACATCGACGACGACGACGGCGCCATTTTGGATGTATGCTCTTCTCCTCCTAATCACCATCATCAACTTTTATGGTTTGCCTTTACTCACATTACCGTTCACCATGTGGACTGAATAAGACGGGAATGCAAATGCTCGTGAATCGTTGGCGTTGTTGATGCTGCAACTGACATTAGCTGCGATCTTAGGACATCGGAAGACTATCTATTTGGCAGGCACGAATGCAACAGCGAAGAATGACTTCGGTCGAGACGCGGGTGGGGCCGGGCCGGGACTCCTGACCCACCAGAACCCGGTTTCGACCGATGCATCGGACAGCGAGAATGATCACTACCACCTCGGAATTCGGTATTCCTTTCCTGGGATTATCGTTGCAAGTAACGGACAACATATAGCAACTTCAACCGTTTACTTTCTCGCAAGGCCCTCCGTGCTGATGTAACTCTGGTATGGCTTTGGTCTGAGTGGTAGGTGCTGAGGCTGCTGCATCGGACCCACCATGTGCGATCCACATGGCCAATCGTCCCTGATCACTCGAAACTATTCCGTTTATAATGAAGTTTCCACGGACAAGTATTCAATCGGCTTTGAGGCTGTTTCGCGAAGATGTCATTTCTCCGAGATACTGTGCACTCAATTTTTAGAAGCAAGGGCTGAATGCGATTTTAGCTCGCGGTCCGGTATTTTTAGCCACCATTCCTCAGTCGCGTCTCTTTTTCAGTGTAAATGGTCCATTCTGTGGACGGGTTGGTTTTAAATGTGTCTAATGTCTCCGTCTATCGGTTGGTATGCGACTAAAATTCTGGAACTCCGCAAGATAGTATTACAATGGACGATTTGACAGACTTATGTTCGCTAAAAGGATCTGTGTCTGCGAACGTCGGCATTCCGGCGCGTGTGGTCGCTTTTTGATACCCCAGTAAATTCGACGCTATATAAAACAGGGAAGGTCAGACGACTCTTCACTATCCCTACCCCTACCTGCCTCACGATGCGCAGAACTCACGATCAACTAGCTGCAGACCAGAACAAGCCCGCACCACCCGTCGTCACCGCTGACTTGAGTGAGAAGACACTCATCCTGATCGGTGCGAACGCTGGTCTCGGGTTCGAGGCCGCAAAGCACTTCGCTAGCATGAACCCTGCGCGACTGGTCTTGACGGCAAGAGATGAAGCGAAGGGGAAGATGGCTCTGGCCCGTACGTGGCATCCGATTATCCGGTTTTACAAGTGCGACTCATCCTGGTTTCATTCTCAGAGATCCAAGAGGACACTGGCTATACCAAGGCGGAGCTATGGATCATCGATCTTGCCAATTTCAGCGGCGTCATCGCGTTTGCTGATAAAGCCGAGCGTGAACTAGACCGATTGGATATCCTTATAGAGAATGCTGGCATGATGACTTATGAGTACGAAGAAGCGGAGGGTTGGGAGAGAACGTATGTGCCGTGCCATCTTCTTCTTTTCCGGAGCACGAAAGGGCTTATCATCGTCGTCCTCAGTTTGCATACGAACAACCTCGGACCTGGCTTACTTGCGATTCGCATGATCCCCAAGATGGTTGAGACAGCTCGCAGGTATTCAGCTCACCCGAGAGTGGTCGTCGTCGCGAGCGACACGCATTATTGGACAAAAATAGAACAGGACGTCATCGGTTCGGCTGGCATCCTCGCGACGCTGTCAAACAAGGAGTACTGTACCCAAGAGTATGTTCTTGATTCCTTCGCTGGTGTCTTGTTGACATGTAGACAGGGTGATGTACCACCGGTATCATGATACGAAGCGTGCGTCAACTTGGCAATTTTTGTTTTACATGGGTTCGAATCTGACCTGACAGACCAAGACAGTGCTGAACGTGCTGTTCGCGCGGGCTCTGCAGGTCCACGTCCGATCTTCCCCGGCAATGATCACCGTCTGCGCTGTGAACCCAGGGCTGTGTGTCTCGGGTCTGCTGACGAGGCTCCCTTCTGATGCTGAGGAGGCACAGGCTATCCTAAAGGACCGAGACGAATTTGCGTTCACTACGGAAGAAGGGAGCCGGCAACTGGTGTACGGTGCGGTTGGGTCGTTGGATGACGAAGAGAGGATTCGGGGCAAGTACATACAAATGTCCGAGGTGACGGAGGAGAGCGACTTTGCGATCAGCGAGGATGGGAAGATCGTTGAGGGAAAAGTCTGGGTAGGTGGTTCTTGAGCATCGAGTTGTATGGTGGAGTTTCTGATTGATGTGCTTAGGAGGAGATGCTGGAGATCTTTGGTGATATTGATCCCAAGGTTACGGAGGTGGCCAAAGTGTATCTGACGATGCCTTGAGTTCGGCAGTGGAAGACATTGCATCGATTGTTTATTAAGAGCCTGTCATTTCTGTGTATCCTGTACTGTAATGCATGGCAATTTGAAGGGTTGGTCGTACTATTGACATCCAAAGTTTGGAGGACGGGCATACTAGTAAAGAAGACCCCGCGGAAATCCAATATCAAATCGAAAAGTTGCAAACAAAAAGAGGGCATTGAGGGCTCTGCGTTTTCAAATTCTCGAGACCAAGACCAAAGATCTTGCGGTGCTCATGATTCGTTACGAATCGCTTGCTAAGACTGCCAAGTCCGTATCGACCAACGCGCTGTGAATGGCGCTTAACAGTGCCGTGGATCCACCCCTAAACACAGGTGTAGCATCGTACCGCCAGATGAATTCCCGGGAGGAGATTCGACGGTTAGGATCGGTCATAAGATCCATGTCTTCGACTTGGACGAAGCGTGCACCGATCATCCCTCCGATTTCACTGCCTTTCAAGCGTAAGACGTCGTCGCCCGGACCATCTCACCAGGAGATGGAATACCAGCTGTCTCACGGCAGACACCGCTTCAAAGGTATCTCGCACATCTGGTGTGGCATGAGATTAATAGGGTGGTCTCATCGGCAAGGGATATGGACAGGGGCATGACGGGCGGAAGCAACTCAGTAAGTGTCGAATCACCTGATAGGTCACTTGTCAAAGCCCTCGGGGTTGTCGGTAATGATGTCCCTTGGCTCTCTGAGTTCCCTCAAGGGCTGCTTTTCGCGTTTTGGGAGTCTTAGCTTTGCCAGTCATGGTGCATCTCATTCATAGTTATATTTGTTTATGGATTTCTTTGGTTTTTGTAAAGTAGTTCATGCAATGTGTGTCTTGGTTCATTATATCATATGTAAGCTGCCATATATGTGACTAGACATATGGTACAGTGTAGATCAATTTCTGTTTCTTCTTCCACCCAGTGTTTTGACTCAGCTCGAAAGCTGATCAGTGTTTGAGATATCTGCTCAGGACACATACCATTGCTTTTGTGTAGAATTTTTTGCACCATTGTTCACAGAAAAGGCAGCCAGAAAAGGACACATTAGAATAGAATTCTGTGTCTGTCCTCCTGTTCTAAAGGTGTATTATCCAATAGCAGTCACCTATCCAGTCCAACTGTGTCAGAAAGAATTGGTCCTCGTCTTTACTATTTTGGAAGTGTTGGGATAGCAATCCCGAGCGAGTACGAGAATGTACTCGAAGATACGATGCCAGTCAGCGGCAGCTGACTTGGATCGTGATCCGGACTTATTTAGTATCTTGTAGAAAGATCTCGAAGTAATACGAAATGTATTTAAGTAGAACGTTTCTCTCTCGAGAGGCTAATTCTAGTTCTCTGTTACATTACTCTGCTCTCTACTTACAACAGGAAGATTGTCTTTGTCTTGTGGGTGTTTAGCGCGAAGACCAGGAACCAAATCGTCAGGTACAACATCATGACAAATGGATATTTATTTCAAGCGACTCGGACATGTGTCATCGACTTCTCGAGCTCTACTGCCGGCCCCTTGCAACTATTGTCTCCTGCCCTTATATATATAAATTTCATATTGTTGAATCTTTCAGATATGATAAGCCTCCTGTGTCCAAGCCCTGCACGGACACGGCGAGCTCATTCACTAAAAAGAATGTGGATGCAATTGATGTCGACGAGATAATGATGGGATATGTGATGTGCTACACATGTACAGAAATGGGAAATTTGTCCGTCTTGTGTTGTACAGATGGGGTCTTTGGAATGTACAAATAAAAATCCAACGAGAATAAACATAGCGATAAGAACTGAGAGATGAGCAATGGTTAGGCCTGAGGCGTTCAGTAGAGGTCCAACGCTGGCTCGATCGGATATGCCATACAAGTCGTTCAACGTGGCCAGTATGTATTGTAGTCATACACTGGCTCTGTCGCATTAACGTAACCTGAACTACCATGCGAAGAAGGGAAATGGATAGTATGCGGAAGGTGCTGGAAGTTACCAGGAATCGGGAGTGGGTCATGGTGAAGTCGGCTGTCGACGGATGGTGGCGGGTCTGCGGGAGGGGGGGCTGTTGAATTAGTGGGTGGATACGGTGTGTACATATACTGTAACGGTGCTCAGAATTCAAAGAGAAAGACGACGTGATAGAATAGCTTACATATTTAGACAGGACTTTCTCAAGCGCCTGTCCAAGAAGTGACCACTCAAACACTTTGATGTCTTTCTCAATATTCCGGGGCTTGGGATCAGGGAAGTCCATGATCCGCCGGAAGAAGGTGTCTAAAATATGTCCATGTTTGCTGACGGTTGTCGGTTTCAAGCACTCCAGATTGCGCCTTATGCGGTTTTTCTCCTCGACAGGAAAGTCGTCGTTGGTGATCCTCTCGAGCAGATAAATGATATCTACGCCGGTGACATAGTACGGGCCGTTTGGGATGCCATAAATACAGGAAATGACGGTGTCCGTGCCATTGTAGTCATCCTGGCGGATAGCTTCGCAGGTAAGAATGATTTTGCAACCGTCTTGGACGTTGTGAAAACGAACGAGTCGACGACCGATGAGGACTTCGGATGGATTCCAACTTGTGCACATAGTATCAAGAGGGGTTTGTATGTCGAGAATAGGCGTCTGGGGATGGAGGTTGATGTCGTCTGGAGAGCCACGGTTAGCGCGGATGAGGGAATTCGGGCGAATGGGGCGTGATGCTAGTCTGCGATCAGAAGGAGTTGCAGAAGGACCTGATGGTGGGTCGTGTATACTTGTGGTAGTATTGGCCCGTAGGCGGAGCACTGGCCACTGGGAAGCTACTACTGGCTGGGAAGCCATCCAAGACGGCTGAGAGGCCAAGAGTGGCGGATTCTGTATGGGAAGATGGGGTTCCCTGTAGGTAAACTCGCCAAAGAAGACGGAATGGAGAACGTTGTTGCGCGAGTTAACTAGCTCGACGGTAAGGGCAACCTTCAGTTCACTCATTCTGTGCGGAATCATAGCACGAAGCCTATAAAGGTCACATTTTTCGGGAGAAAACTTGAAGACTTGAGTACTGAGTGCTGTCGAGCCAACTTTTAGACGTAGATATATTTTCTCTCCAGTGGGATGGCGGAAGCGAAGTCGGACCAAAATGGGGTCACCGATGTTGCCTTCGGAGGGAGAGAAGTCGACAATAGAGATAATAGGCAAGCATGGGCTGGACATGGCAGCTGGAAAGGCAGAGAGGGAGGAACTGGCAGGAATCATGGCAGTGAAAGCCAGCTCCTACAGTCTCTGACATTGGTAGATAACAGGGGTATTGACACCGATTTATTTCCATTTCTGGTATAATTTGTCTTGCACCGATCAGCGTGGCGCGGTCCGTCCATCCAAATTAGGCTCACGGACGGCACGTGCCCTTCACTCCATAAGACTTGGCCGCAGAGAGAGCAGCGGGGCGAGACTGCCAGTAAGCAGTGAACCCTGGAGCCGGCGTTGATCGTGGAATATCGTAAAGTGAAGAGTTGATAACAAAATTGGACAGTATGTGGTGCTCATGCTCAAAGCCCTGTCTACGATGTGTACGATGAGCTCGAGCATGAACTTCCCATTGCAAAGCACAGCCGAATTGAGAGCCAAAATTCCACTGCTGATAAAAACATCCCATCCCAGGTATATATCGTAACTGATGTCTTACCCGTGCTAACATTGTTTTCAACTAGTCGCTCTCCACTACTGACTAGTGGAAATATCAATGGTCAAATGAAAAGTGGCGGTGATGCTTGATTGTGACCACCTCCGAGAGTGTTAACGACAGCGTAGAGCCTGAGTTAGTTATTGGCTATTATGCATTTTGAATAAAAGTTTTGACAGTGTTGCCGGAAATCTCCTCACGGAAGATCAGTCGTGCATTGCTGTAAATCTGACATGTCTTTCCATTCTGGATGGACAATAGCGCGTCAAAACGAAGAGGTATGAAGGGTAAGGTAAGTCTGTCCTGGCTACAGATCCGATCATTATGTTTACACCGCAAACGTGAAATCCATGTCCAATGTCTCTGTCTTTGTGCAACGTCCGCGCACATTCATCATATATCAGGAAAGTATTGCCTTGTTTATTCACGGTCCCCGAAAACTGTTAATCCGACAGCTTTGCAGTTTACTGATCTCAAATCAGCATGGATCACAATCTCGTCGTCAAAAAACGTCAAAGGTACAATAAATTCATCGTCGAGGCACCTAAAATCCAAAAAATACAACGGGAGATCGCTGCCGAAACGGGCGGTGATTTTATCTGCGGTTCTGAAGCAAAATCGCTTCTGGAAGAGTACCTGCCTTGGAACGACAGCACTCCAGGGAGCTATGAGATGAAGGAACCAATCCGGCAACAAAAGGATCTCCTCGTGTCCATTGCAGGCTTTCAGTATTTTAAAATGTACGAAAAATATGTGCGTGCTTCGGCGATTGGATTCGTCCATCTTCTTACAGTCTCATGGTATACAGAGCAACTCGTTTGAAGAATGGCCCTTACCGCCGGATACAGCAAAAACGAGGCAGAGTAACAAGATGACAAGGTCGTTGAGACGGCGACGGAGGACGTCTCAGAGTATGCGCAACCGGCTGACCCTGTGCCTCCTCGTTTCCCATTCGATAGCAACTCGATCGAGGGAATGGAGACACCCGGTCAGATTGCCTCCTACCCTGGTGCCACCATGATGCTCCAATACCGCTCTCACCTGTTTACTATCCTCATCTGTGGGCAGTTCGCACGGTTCATACGCTGGGATAGAACTAGGGCCATCGTTAGCATGTCTTTCGACTACACTAATGATCCTGATTTGGTCTCCGATTTCTATAAATGATTTTCCGAGCTATCACTGAGTCAACGGGGGAAGGACACCACTATCTTTCCTATAGCAGATGATGAATCAGACCCAATTACTGCTCGAGCCAAATTTGGCCTGTATGTTACAGATATGTGGCATGGCGATGCGCGTGCTAACGCGAAAAGGGATATTAAGATCCAGGACCAGAAGCTTTTCCGTATGGAGGTGATCCTCGAAGACGGCGTTCGCTAGTTCGTGGTGTGTGCTCCAAAATTCGACGAAGACTCATTGACACCATTCGGCGATCGATACGTCGGTCTCTCGCTCTCGATTTGGATAGTCCTGATCTTCATGACCCTAGAAACCCGTGCGGGAGGCTGCCGTTCATGAAGGACTATTGGCGTGAGGAATCGTCTCGGACCCCCAAAGAATCTGACATCTATCGTCTTCTCGCCCAGCACGAAGTCCCCCATGTAGCTGAAATGGAGACTGGTGAGACGTCCCTGATATGGTCACGATTACACAGGAATATGTACGAGCGTCAGAGGAGATCTACCGTCTCCGGAGGCTGCAGGTTCTCCGGATCTTCTTGAAGACCATCGGAAGAGATCTAACGACATTCTTCAGTGTTAAGGATCTGGTGATGTGTATTGCCGACGCCATGGAAGGTATTCCTGACCTCGTCTTTTTTCGACTATGTTGATCGTTTGTTTCCACTCAGCTCACCAGATTGCGTTCGAAAGGGCCTGTATTCTGCACCGCGATATAAGTGTCGGAAACATCATGATCACCGCAAATCACAGAGGCTTTCTTATCGACTGGGATCACTGCGTCATTCTTAGCCACAAAAGCGGCGAGAAGCGCGTTGGAAGAGGTGTACGTTTTCCATGAAACTCTCTGAACCTTCTTTGCAGCTTATCCTTGTCATCTAGGGAAAATGGCAGTTTGTGTCTGCAAAGCTCTTGACTTCCTTCTGCAATGTACATACAATTGTAGACAATAGAGATTCCTCCCTATGGATTCTTCCCTATGTGGTTCTCCGAAATGTCCGGAATGAACTTTCACCGGTTGAACTGTACGAGACCATGAAGATGTTGTTCGAATCCTCTCAGGGTTCAGGCAAGCGCAGTTTACTGGGTGAGGTTGGAGAAATGCCTTCCTTCGTGGTGGATGGACTCAATGAATTGCTGCAACAACTGGTCGGTGTCTTCGTTGTTCGATATCAGCCGGAACCTACCATAAAGGAAATACAAAAATACGAAGCATGGAAGGTGTCGCATACAGATGACGCTCTAGAGCTTCGGGTCGCCGAGTATCTCATAAATCAGGAGAAAGTGAACAGCCTTACTTAGCTTTATGACACGTTGGGTGTGCATGCCGAGAAGATGAAGGTACCTCCAAAGGGGAGCTATGACTGAAACTACAATGCCTGCTACAGCCAGGATGACTTATGGGGAGGCTCCAAAAAACGGTTGGCGGCGATGGACTGTCTTGAGACAAAGCGGTGGAAAGGGATGAGCACCGAGTCACATAACATGCCTTATGTGATAGAGCAGGACGAAAAAAAGGCTCTGAGAAAGAATTGATGGAAATGGAGATCTCGCAAAGTTTTAGGTAGTAAATGGATATATTTTTCTATGACATTTACACAGAATGGTTGCCAAAAAAGCGAGCTATACTTTCATGTCCTCGTTGACAAAATCAAGAAACTCGGTCTTTCACTGCCACGTAGATATGGTTACGCCGAATAGCCGTAATGATAACAATGCTGGCCATTATGTCTCAACCACCATATGTTGAGCGAATGTGCTATCTCTGCTCTGTTTTCTGGAGCAGGGTTAATGACGATCGATGAGGCTCAATCCCAGCTTCTCTCCCAAATGGTTGTATTTGTCAAAGGAATCCAAGAAACATCAGACTATAGGCAATCATTCAATGCTGTATTTGGTGCACAAAGCTGAAATTTAAGCATACAATCATTGCCAATAATGAACGTTTGATCAAGCATCCTATTTACCCTTAGTCCTAGTAAGCGGCGGGCTTGTGCGAAGTCTTATCACACCTGTATTGGCACACTGAGAAAAGGACTAAAGAGACAGGACCAGAGAAAGTAGGTGGCAAGAGGCGTCATACAGAAGTAAAAGCCTGCGAGCCATAAGCCCGTTACCTTAGCTGTCGACCTCGGTGCAGAGTCATGCTACAAAACAGTCCGAAGTCAACAAAACCATCGGCGAGGACATATCCCAACATCATGTAGATGGCTTAGGTAGTTGAGAAAACCATCATCAAGGATTTATCTAGGGTAAAATGCGCATGGTAAATGAGTAAGATTCATTTATCTTGGCTTCTTGTTTTTCTGGAGTCCTCAAGCACCACGGAAATAACAATCCTATCAAGTAGAATAACGAGAAATCTTCAGACAAGAGACCTGTGAAAACAAAATATGACGAAACTGCTGCTTGTGAGAGTTCGAGACGCGGAAATCATTCGTCATTCGAGCGTCGGTACAATGAGCCGTACTTCGTTCGGACTTACCCGATGCAGGTTGTCACGAGCACGTGCTTTCAGTCACATATGAATCCGCCACAACGGGTCACTTACTACCACCACAACGGTGCAATTCATATAACACATCCAGGGTGCTGATATCATCGCCATGCTCCTTGGCGAGGACGTTCTCATCCACCATTAGCACGACAGATGCTCTTTGACAAAATCTGGTCGCCGTCGCATTATCGTTCCCAAGTGCCAGCAGTGACGACTATACTCAAACGTCTACGGCCACCGAGAGCGCGGTGCATGAAAAAGGGAATTCTGGCTATCGGTGCATCACAGAAACTGCGCAGCGAGATGATAGTTACTGACACACGTTGCTCCAGGACTGTCAAGCCTCATCTACAGCAGCGGCTGTCCCACCTCCATCGAGTACTACCGCGGCGTCTGCGTTATCCTGTGTCTCTTCCACGCTCACCAGGTCGACAAGCACGCCTATTCCCATGTCGATTTTGCCGATTTTCGCACCACGGTGGCGTATTTCATTAAACTGAGCGGAGCGATATACCTGAGGATGCGGGTGTGGTTCCCGATAGCAGGGATGGAGACTCCGGGACGGGTGCATGAGCATCTGGAGGTGCTATTTACCCTGCAGGGGGAGGCAAGGAAGACGGCGCACCATGTCATACACCAAGCGTGTGTCCAAATGCATCACCTCGTCCGTGGCTTCGATCCGGACGTCGGTGTTGCTGAAGATCCGCTGAGATGGGGTGAAGCGGCAGCAAATGCCGTGGTACTGTTGGTGGAGTTGATGGGCGAGGCGGCGCTAGCGACGGTCCCGTCGGCCCAGACACAGACGCTGTTAAAACCGGATGGGGTATCAGATGACTATGCCTCAACGGAGCATTACGAGTTTGCGCGTGAGTCTTCTCGGAAGGCTTCGCTGGTTCTCTGTACTAACCTTCGTGCGAGTTTCGGAAGAAAGCTTTTAGGTCAATCTTCGACCCGGACCAGAATGATAGGAAGGCCTGCTAGGGCCGAGTTAGGTTTCTTCTCTCATTACTTATTCTCTTGACGCTGGACGCATCCGTAACGATTATATCGATGTCAATATCTTGTAGCAATATTACTTTCACTGACTCTTATGATGATTTCTTTGTTCATTACTCAGCTTCAGTGCTCAGATCGCCACTTCCATGATGATCGAACAAGTAATGCTCATAAAGGCACTGAACGTTTTCTGTACCACACAGGAAGCAGCCGCATGGTAGATGCAATGTTTTCAATCTCTACGGAACCGCGATCAGTCGCTCAACTTGCGTGGCCTGCTATGATGCTCACCAGGAAGACGTCTTACAAAGCGGATAATGTGCATGGTCGCATCAACACTGGGAATACTACCACGGACCTGGACGGTCGTTTCTCATTCTTCATCCTCGCCTTGCAGCCATATCTATTCAATTCGTCAATGCTACAGTCCCTCTTAACTCAGGTGGTAGAGCGCGTCACTGGTATGTTTATTTGTAGAGGTCAGTTGTTCAAGTCGGCTAGAAGTGTAAGTTCGCTAGAATTCTTCTAATTTTGGTTTTCGTGTTTGAAACTTGAAAAAGGTCAATTCTGGTCCTGTTCTTTCTATCTGAGACATTCTCTCAATGACTCATGATTTTGAGCCTCCGATTTTTTTTGAGTAGTCATCATAATCTCCTTTGCGTTAATATCAATCAATTTGAATTATGTTATGTCTATAGTAGCACATTTCTTCTATTCTGCCCAGGGAATTTGATAGTTTGATAGTTTGAATATCTGCATCAACGGTCATGCCAAGCTTTGGATTACTTAGAAGAACATGAGCTGCTAGTAAGGAATGAGAGAAATGTTTCAATTCTTCACAGCCTCTAATGCAGGGCATTAAATGGAGAGCAGTGAGCAGTGAGCCCTTAGGTCGTGTTCGAACAGTGAATAAAATGTAGAGGTCGTGACCATGTGTGATCCCCGTGCACGAGCAGAATTTGAAATCGTCAACTTGGACATGAATGCGACACCGGCAGCGCTAGCGCTACGGCCCCCTTGTTCAAGTCATTGTGGTTTGCCTGGGAACAGACAGAAGAGGAAATTATTCTGCCAGGTCAGTTTCCATTCACGATTTAGTTGAGCAATGTTGGGGGCAGTTCTTCATCGTCTTTATCAATGCTTACTTAGATACCGCGAATGACTATTGTGCACCTCCCACACATCCAAATCACACTATGAATCACAATCCCATCATTTAAAAAGGTCAAAGACCCAGAAAAAGGTTTCTCGAGTCTCCGAAAATCCGACAAAGACATCGGGAGATCGTTGCCGAAACGCACGGTGATTTTATCTGCGGTCCTCAAGCGAACTCATTTCTGGATGAGTACATGCCTTGGAACGACAGCACACCGGCAAGCTATAGGCTTAAGGAACCAAACCAGTCTCAAAAGGGTCTCCTCATGTCCATGGCAGGTCTTACCGAGTTTGACATGTACGAAAAATATGTGCGTGCTTCGGCGATTAGATTTGTCCATCATCTTACCGTCTCGTCGTGCACAAGTGAACGCTTTCGAAGGATGGCCCTCGCCACCGCATACAGAAAAACCGGAATATCAATCGACACGTCCTCTATATGGGAAGCTCCGGGACCCGGACAGAAACTGTGAATCTTGCAGTGGATATCGGAGTCTATGATGCGTATAACGTGTCAGAGGGCCCAGCTGCGGCTTACGCGCTGATGGAGACACAGACAGAATTAAAGTCCTGCGATAACTACGGTGCTTTCCTTGACTTGGATGATGAGGATCTCTCTGGCGCAGGAGATAATGATGAAAAAAACGAGGTAGAGCAGCAAGATCAGCAAGCCGAGGAAGACGATGCAGCGGAACGTGACAAGATCGCTGAGACGGCATGGGACGACGTCTCAGAGTACGCGCAACCAGCTGACCCTGTGCCTCCTCGTTTTCCATTCGATAGCAACTCGATCGAGGGAATGGAGACACCCGGTCAGATTGCCTCCTACCCTGGTGCCACCATGATGCTCCAATACCGCTCTCACCTGTTTACTATCCTCATCTGTGGGCAGTTCGCACGGTTCATACGCTGGGATAGAACTAGGGCCATCGTTAGCATGTCTTTCGACTACACTAATGATCCTGATTTGGTCTCCGATTTCTATAAATGATTTTCCGAGCTATCACTGAGTCAACGGGGGAAGGACACCACTATCTTTCCTATAGCAGATGATGAATCAGACCCAATTACTGCTCGAGCCAAATTTGGCCTGTATGTTACAGATATGTGGCATGGCGATGCGCGTGCTAACGCGAAAAGGGATATTAAGATCCAGGACCAGAAGCTTCTCCGTATGAGGTGACCCTCGAAGGCGCGGTTGGCCGATTTGTGGTGCGCCAAAGTTCGACGAAGACTCATTGTCACCATTTGGACGATCGACCCGTCGGTCTCTTGCTCTTGATCTAGATAACGACAACCCCGAGACAAAACTTGGAGTTCTCTTCATGAAAGATTCTTGGCGCGAGGATGCTCTTCCTACGGAAAAGGAATCCGACGTCTATCGTTTTCTCGCCGAGCACCGAAATGGAGACTGGCGGCGATGTCCCTGGCATGGTCACCATTTCTCGCAAGCACGTAGGGATATCCGGTTGTGATATACACCGTCCCCGAAAGTTGCTCTCCCACCGTGTCTTAAAGACCATCGGAAAAGATCTAACGATGTTCTTCAACGTCAAGGACTTGGTCATTTGTGTTGCAGACGCCATGGAGGGTAGGCCCTAACTTTCCTCTTCCTTTCTTACTCAGCTGATCTTTTGTTGAACCAGCGCACCAGGCGGCGTTTGATAAGGCGTGTATTCTGCACTGCGATATCAGTGCCGGAAATATCCTGATCACCCCGAATAAGAGAGGGTTTGACTGGGATCACTGCTCCATTCTGAAGGCCAGGACCGCGAAGTGCACGGTGAGAACAGTAAATTTTCACTCAATCGCAACATCTTTCTTCGCTTATACTATCATCGTCATCTAGGGCACATGGCGATTCATGTCTGCGCGCCTTATGGACTCCGTATGGAACCCCGACACCCTGATAGACGAAAAAGAGTTCTCGCTCTGGGTTCTCCTTGACATGGCTCTCCGACATACTCGTCATCCCCTTTCCCCGATTGCCCTGCACCGAAAAATGGAAAGCTTGTTTGAGGACGGATCCCGCCTGCGTACTGGCGACCTTGTGAATCGCAGTTTTCTACGCGGTGATCACGCAATGCCTTTCTTTGCTGTCACCGGTCTCAGCCAGATGTTGCGAGAGCTAGCCGACGTTTTCGATGTCCGACATCAAGCGGAACCTAGGCAGGCTGAAGATGAGTTGTATGAGGTGGTTAAGGCATCGCTTCCTAACTTGGTAGAGAGCACTCAGAAATGGAGGTATCTGAAGAAGATGGAGAAACTGAACAGCGCTACCTTGCTTTGTCATACCTTGCGCGCGCATGCCGAAAAGGTGAAGGCTCCTGACAATGGTAGCTATGACTGGTGTTGCAATGCTTGCTACAGCGAGGACAAGTACAGGGAAAGCCCCAAAAAACGTAAGGCGGAGGGGACAGATCGTCTTGAGATGAAGAGGTGGAAAGGGATGGGCGCTGAGATGTGTAGCCGCCACGACGATATTATGGTGGACACAAAAGAGACAGAAGAAGAGTGCTCATTAAAACTGGAGCACCTGAGGCCCTGGGGCCCTTTACGTGGCAATTAACGATAAACTTTCGCGATGTCATTTATAATGAAGGGTTGCAATCGAAACTACCAGAACAAATCGTGAGACGCGGCATTCAAGCAACAGCCTATCTTTTATCTCTCCCATGTTCTTCTCTTGGATCATTTTGCGTACATACTATTCCGTGCAGTAGCTGATGGCTGAATGTTCAGATCATTGTACTGCGTCATGGACTGGTCGAGAGATGGCTGCAGCAAACGATTTTTAAGTTAGGATCAGCAGCACCATATCCCTGTTACCAGTAGCGTAAGTCGATTACCTTGCGATTATCATGCTTTTGTGGTATTATATCGAGTCACAATCAGACCTGTAGGCGTGGCCTTAACCCTTATACTTACTTTCTTAACTGGTTTTGACGCTTGTTGGATGGAAAACAGAAGTGCAGGATAATGCACTCTTTCCTTGCAGTTACTTTGGTTAGCTCCTAGCCCATCGAGCGGGACAATAAAGAGAGCGCGGTCTTGGTTTTCGATATAAGTACGAATTGTGACACCTCCAATGATGAGAAAGTGATGATGCTTACCCAGATAAGAATGGGAAGCACCGATATTTTCCAAGTCCTGCGTGGGTTCTGCCCGTGATATCTACACAACGCGTTACGATGATATTATGACCACTGTATCATGACACGAATCAGATGTCCGAGGTTTACTTTTTCGCTGACGGTAATTGGAGAAGCCGTGTCTTCCGGGCCGAAGGTCAGACAATACGATCGCCTAGTCATTTCTTTAAGTTGTTCCTCGCTTTGTGAACAAAATGGATTATTTTTTGTTGGTGTACGCGGTTGTATTCACTGTTGTCTACACAGATTCTTCGATATTGTCGACTCCTTTTGTGAACAAAATGTAATCTCGTGGTGTCCAAATAGTAGTCATGTATTTACGTGAACAATAGACATCTTCTTTCCTTCCGCTCGAGGTAGTCCATAAGATCTTCCGTCACTATCTGACAAATTTCCTGTGCAATCTCTCGATTTTTTTCGACAGATTGTGGGTTTTGGAGAATGTAAACAGAGGGTGGAAGACTGCCTCCTTGTCGTATAACCATAAATACAGAGTGGGAGAATGTTCCTCTCCTAGTATGCGTCTTATCGCCGTAGGCCCTTCCTACGATGGAGGTAACATAACGAAAAACCCTTTATGTCATACCTGGTGATACAGCGAACCAGATTGTCATCGAAAATCATTCATCGCTCCGGAAATCTGGCCCTCGATATTACCCTATGGACCTTCCCTATGAGCAGCGCTATTTTCCCCGTTCTTTTGACAACAAAACAACACTCTTTTCTCTCCTCTTCGCATCCTCTTTTCGTTGGAAAACGCTAAGCCTCAAGGCGCCTGACGCCCTGTAGGAACATTTTGTTGGAAGTTCATCTGCTCCAGCGACTTATATGATCTAAGGGCGACCGACTCTTTGGGAGGCATCCCCTGTCCGCACTCGCCTTTTACGCGCTTGGGCCCAAAGTAGTGACATTGCACTTGGACGTCACCCACACCCGAGCTGGTGTTCCGAAAAAAAAAGATCCTGTTCCGATGCTATTACTGAGGTTCATGCCACTGATATACTTTACTGAGCCGGCTCTCAAATAGTTATCATGAACCACCATTGTAGCGGAAATCCTTCGTCGTGCAATTTCTCGCACGGTCCTAACGCTCCTCTGGCGCTGTCGTGGTCATGTCCTAAGGTGTTGTAGATATCCTATCTCATCCCCACACCCGAATCTCTATCAATTTTCTTCGACTTCGCATTAGTCACCCGTCTTTCCTTCCCCATGGGACATGAATGTCGTCCTTGACATGATTCAGAGTCGAGGCTGGCATGCAGGATACTAGGGGTCAAAGATTCTTCGAAAACGAGAGCATTTCACAGCCCCAATTGGATGCTCTGCCAAATTTCACTGTCCGTGATGGACCCGAACCAATTCGCAGGGTGAATGGTAGATATTTTGATGAGGATAAGCTTTAAGTACCAGTGGGGATTTTCGGGAAATATCATTTGTATGTTATTATCACGTCAATGCAGGCAGGTTCGCGTCTTGGTAACTCTGTTTTACATTATATAGTCAAAGGATGGCGAGAGCACAAGAGAGAGATATTGAAATAAAACGAGTAGGGGGAAATCCGGTTTCGAGCGGGTTTCTAGTTCCACAAGCATGAGTATGCCAATTTTTTTTCACCATTGGGTCAGACCAGCAGCCATCATATCGCCGCGTCATTCAAATGTACTCCGGCGTGATACCGCCCGGGAATAAGAAAAAGGTGTCCTACCACCCGCACGTAGCGTTGTTGCTCATCAATGCGGTAGCGCCGTAATACGCGAAAACATCTCTCTGGAGATTTGTTAACATCATCCTGGCTTGAAGCACGAAGCCTGATGTCAAGATGTGGGTTATCCGACCGTCAGCGCCAGCTGGTCCATCTCGGTGTCTCCGTCGGCCGACCGCTCTGAGCTCGTAGGGAGGTGTTTCTTGAGCGAATGGCTGGGGAGAGAGCGCACCAGAGTGTGAAGACAATATCGATATCCCCTCTTCTAGACTCGAATATTTCTCCAGATACAGGTTGCTGACCTATTATGTCAGGACTCAAAAATTTGGCAAAGTCAGTATACGCCCTTCAGTGAGCTTCATGTATTACTATTTCCGTACATCTTGACGAGCGGCAATACTATAAGATCTTTCACTGGTTGATGTCCTATCGCTCAGGCAGGTGTTCCATTTGCCATTACATTTCAGGGTGCTTAAGATATAGATATGCAATCTCCCTGTGAAAGAAGATCAACGAACGTCCAAAGGAGGGGGAGCTGCTGCTGGTCGTACCGCACAAAAGTCAATGATCGCAATACTCTTCTTCATCTTCATCGTTTTTCTTCTCGCCCTGCTGCGGCTTTTTCCTACCTTTACGCTTCCTTGTATTACTCCTGTACGGAGGACCAGCTCTTTTGACGCTCTTCCGAATACTAGTAAGGAGAGCCTTCTTCTTCTTATCATCGAGCTCTGTATAGGTTGAGAGTGCATTCAGCACCTCGATCTCCGTAGCATACGTCTCTGGTTCTGGCGTCTCTAGAATAAGAGGTATACCTTGAACCCTAGGGTCGGTCAGGATATGGTAGAACGACTCCAAGCCAATGAAGCCCCTACGCATCGTGAGCAATCGAGAAACATGAGAACAGAGAAATGAAAGGAACGAACATGCCAATGGTCTCGTGGCGATCACGATTCGATGCGAGTTCTGTTTTCGAGTCGTTCAAGTGCATTGCTCTCAAGTACGACAGGCCAATTTGTTGATCGAACTTTGTTACTGTTTTGAATGCGTTAGTGCTCAGCAAACGAAAAGAAGAGACGCGGTACTTGTGTCTCTGTCATTATGTCAAGCTTAATGAAAGGCCAGTACAAGGGGATTGAGACTCACTCCCACCCTTTCTTCGTTCGGATGTCGTAGCCCTGTCGCAATGTAAGGTGTCAAAGAGTGTTTCAACATAGTTCATAACTCACGGCCGCAAACATATGACCTAGACAAGGCGTTAACTGGAGAAAAAAAAAGTTAATCGAGACAAACATGTGTCCAAGCAGACTCCAACACGGGATTTGTCTTCAACTGCCGCTATGATATCGGCGAGATGGGAGAATTGAGAACCTATGACGTAGCCAGTTCCGGCCTTGAGTCGACACATTAGAAATTGGCCATGTCCTTGCCTGATGCTCATACCATATTTTCGAGAACGGTCATTACAGAGGTCGTAGTTTTGTGAGCGCGATTGAGGCATTCGGCGATAAGAGCTATTGATTCCGCTGTCGTTCCTGTACCCACAGAGGATCCTGGACTATGCGTTGTCAGAGGACACTTACCACCTTGAAGAGTTGATGTTTCCACGGACCGGGGTGATACGAGCACGTAACCGGACCGCGGAAACACTACCTAAGCTATATCACTTACTGGAAATTATAGACCTCCAAGCCGAGCTGTTCGCAACGGTGTAGATCGTCGACAAAACATCCATAGGACTTTTCTCGCTTTTTCCTGCGCGGATGATTCGCCGGAATAATGCGTCGCGGAATGGAGAGAACTCACGGATCTGGATTACCGAGATTAATGAGATAACTTCCATGTGGTAAAACATATCTGGGTTCGTAGTGGTATTCCTCCATACGCGCCTTGAAGTCTTCGATATTTTGTGCTGTGAGGGCGGGAGATGTCCATTTCCTGGGGGATTTGAGGAACAACGCGAAGGCGTCTGCTCTACATGAGTAGTTGCGTTAGAAAAAGTCGCTATGTAGGCTGTGGTGACACAACACACGCTATAGACGCCGCATTCATTATTGCATTCTCCACGCCGCCAGTGACAGAAACGTGGGCACCAACATACCAAGGACTATTTACCGGATCAATGTATTTGCCTGTTTTAGCCTTGGCATGCGGTGTTCCGTTGTTCCTCTTTGCTTTGCGGGCCCTTTTGGCTGGCCATTCGTCCGGGAGAGAGCTGGACCTGCGGGTCTGGGCCATGATCTGTAACAGATATGGAAACTTTCGTTTATACCGTAGCAAGGAGAGCATGAACGGAAGGGGGACAACAATCCAGCGAAAATATGATCCTCCGACGTGATGGCGTGGGGAAGGGGCTCCTCGGCATTTACCGGATAATGTGACGTGGACCTTATCTTGGCTTATCTTATTGGCGCCGCCTTTGCCTGTTCTTCCGTAAATCCGTTCACAATTGCCCAATGTTACGAACTCTGCCTTCATATGTTGGGCATAGGAGTAATTGATGTACCCTATCAGGTGATAGGCGACAAATGGTTAACAAATGGACGGCTGGGCCCCGGTGCCCCATTTAGCTGGGACAAAAATTCTTTCATGTTGCCGTGCCTGTCGATGGTTAAGGCTACTAGGATCCAGAGCGGAGCTCAAACGCTCATTTTTCATGCCTTCACATCACTTTTCAGCACTGCTACGCCAAGCATGCATTTGGAAATCGTTAGCTGTATGTACCTCCCTTTCACAATGTCTGATTATAGTCTGATTTCTTCTTATTCTTTGTAGTATTTAGCGTCATGTACTTCGCTTCTCCGCTGAAACTCTGAAGCTGAACCTCGAAGCCCTGCAGGGGATGAATATAATTATCCTACCGGGATGGTTTCGTTCTAAATCCATCATATGAGCTTAATATTTGTTTTTCCAAAAGGTATTCGCATAAATATTTTTCCAATTTTAGCTCTCTGATCTATGCCACCATAACAGTCAGGTTACACCGTCCCCACCGAATCCGTACAGCCTCATTATGCCACAGACTTTGTTCACGTTTGCAAAAAAAAATCCGGTAAAGCCGTAGCGCACTACGTGCACACGGTGTTCCATTATTGCGCAACAGGTCATCCTTTGATCCCATCGCCACTTCATTATGACAGGAGAACATTGCTTCACGCGCATGGCTGCATAGCAACAGGCTTGAACGACCTATATTCCCAAGCGCAAAGTAGTGCTGTGCTTTCCTCTCACGGGCGCCTCCCAGAACGATCCGAATTGCGGAAATTAACGTCGCTGGAATTAGTTGTAGATCTTCGGGGCGTTTTTGCCAAACACTGACATAGGAAGGTTGCCCTTTCTGTGGGTCTGGAACTGCGCGCCATTAGACCATAACTGACCTGATTGGCGCCAGCGCTGCTGCTTTTGTTCCCATTCATGGGAATAATTGGATATCACTACCGACGCACGTCTTAAGCGCCGTGTAACCATCAGCGCCATCAAACGATAGTAAATTTTCCCACCGAATGGCTACTAAAGATTCTGACTCCGACTACAGCCTCGTTATTCATCGTAAACGTGATCGATACCAGAACCTGTGTCACCATGATCTTTTACAAAGACGATCAACACCCTCTTTTTGTGGGGTGTGGACCTAGTGCTGAACTCTGATCCCACAGAAGCTAATAGCATATGACCGGAGGGCTACTTTCGACGAGTCTCTTGCACCCGACACGTGTGTGTACAGCGTCTGGCCAAAGCTGTTTCATGATAGATCCCCGTCAAAAAATTCCAAGTCCGTTCATAACCAAGGAACCATTATGGCATCAAACTCCGCGAAGCTACCAGTCGATGAGATACGTGTCCTTTCTTCTCCTTGTCATTTATTTTTCGTCCTGGCAGACGAAGCAACATGAAGGATGACGTCGTCTTTTAACCTGGCCTTCCTACGCACAGTGCCATGCATTGGCTTGGAAACGACCAACATTTCACGTTCTTTGTCCTTTTTTTTTAATAAAAAAATAAAAGAGATTTCCCACAATCTCGTCCACTTCTGTTCTCTTCTTGGGTGTGGTTTTCCATTCTCTGCTCGATCCCAACCTTTTTCGAGATGAGTGTGGCAAAAACGCATGTTGTTCCTGCGAAACCATCGATGTTTACTATAACAAACCATGAGCCGAATCTGGTAAATAGATCTTCGCCCGTTTGACTCTCCATTATTGACTCGCCCACTTAGGGATAACCCGAGTCGAAACGAGTAGTATAAAAACGGAAAGAGTTCCAGCCACACATCTCATAGCCCTCTTCAACCACTCATCTCAATAATGTCTGAATCCTCAATCTCATCCAGCGACACTGCCGGTTGCGAGCCGATCGCTGCCACTCCCCAAGGCCCTATCAAACGAGACCGACTGGGTATCTTCGAAATTGCGTACGAGAAGGAAAGGACCTTCATCCCCTCTCGCCACGCTGTAACGTCGGTAGTAAACAGCGTCTCAGAGAACGGGCCGTTCGTCTTTCGCCTCTTCAAGGATGTGTACTCTGCCGCACCGACAACGTTCCTGCTCTACCTCATCGCAAACCTATGGCTGAGCGTCTCGCCGACGGTGGCGATCTATGTCGTCAAAGTGGGGCTCGACATCGTGAGGCGCCACCTTTTACTCTTTACCTTTTCTTGGCTCACGCGCCCTCTTAGATCGAGAGGTGGATGTCGTCTGGATTTTCCAGCTCAGACAATATGGTAGACGATTTCAGATATGCCGTACTATATTGGCTTGCGTTTGCTTTAGTGTCGCTCATGGCCTCGCGTTACATGTCAGTCGTCCTCGTTGAATACGATATTTTATTTGTGTTGACGATATCACAGCACCGAGAATGAACGTGTCCTGGACTCTGCCACCAAGTTGCTTCTCTATCCCCAATTCGCTAAATGTCAGTGCTCTTTTCTCCGCGCCATTTATTTTGTATTCTTATCACGATATTCCAGTGAGCTTGGCTTTGGATCTGGATACTGCGACCGGTATGAATAGTTGTCATTGTGCAAATCCTTTTCTCACATATCCTAGGTGGTAATAGCTTCCCCAACCCCGGCGAGTTTCACCGAGCGTACTGTAAGGCATGGGAGACTCTATGTGTTATTATTCTTCAACTACGGTCCTTGATCTGCATTCTCCTTCAAGCATGCGTTGTGACCATCGTCCTACATGATTCCTTACCCCTGGATATCGTCATTACGTTCGGTTCTTGTGTTCTGGCTAGTCTTTTGCTCAAGCCCGTCAACAAGTTTGGCGGTGCAGGTGAATGGTTTTTTTCGAAAATTTTTCAATGAAAGGGAAGTGGCCCTGACACGTTGTATTTTAGGATACGTATTCTGGACGAAGAATCGTCATTACGACCGTTTGATAGGCCTCCATCAAATGATCTTCAATCCTTGGGTCTACCGTGATTCCATTATCAAGACTGTTCCAGAAGGCTATATATACCAAGGTCAGTGTTTCTCTCACACCAGTGACCTTGCTCTGAATGAACGCCATGTAATAGAATACAAGAAAGAGATTGAAGGCTTGGGCGTACAGAAATACAGTGAAGCGGACTTTGCCTCGACGACAAGTGTCCCCGCTCCATGGTACTGGGAGTTTCCCAGCAAAATCATTGTCGACTGCTTTCCGGTAAGCACCCTATTCTTTCCTAGGCCGGCCAAATACTGAAGTATATCACATCTCAAAGGCCGTGTGCTCTGTTGTGTTGTTCTGGAATCCTCTCACACCGTCTCTCCTGTGTGCAGGCGTGCTTCTTCAGACGGCTTCAGTGAGCCTGAGAAACCGTGTTGACTTGATGCTGCTGTGCCAATCGAGATCCTTTGTGGACTTACTGCAGGCCGCTAAGCTATGCTACCAGGATCTGGGTATCTCTTCGACCATGATCGCCGGAAATCACGAATACTCTGATAGCGAGAAGTCTTCCGGTCAAGGCATGAGTGTCTCCTTCCAGTGAGTTGAGTCCGATGCCGTACCATCGATGTTTCCTAAATCGTAACCATTTCAATGTCCAGGAATGTCTCGCTTGTGTACCCTGGCCAGAAGCAAGCCCTTGACGATGTTTCTTTTGATATATCTCCCGGACAACTCATTGTTCTCGTTGGCGTCAACGGAAGCGGAAAGTCTAGTCTTTTGAACCTGTTGCCTCGCTTGAGGGATCCTACTACCGGGAGTATACTTATCGACGGGAGGCCTATACAAGACTACGACTTGGCTTCTCTTCGATCGTCCATTACCATTCTCTCACAGGACGATGTGCTCTATCCTCTTTCCTACGGCGATAACTTTACCATGGCTCTGGGTAACTCTGTGTCCGTCGACGATGGAAAATTGCCTATCAAGATGCTTGAAAGGGCAGCTACTATGGGGGGGTCATCCGGAATTATCCATGCACAAAAGGAAGGCTTCGATTCACTGTACACCCCCAGTGACAACGCATTTGAACGGTCACTTCATGTTTCTGTCACGGGTTGCGGGCACAGGTTTCCCTCTTCGGCGGCGGTACGGGTGCTGGGGCTGGAACATCCTCTGCGGAAGCCCACGATGCTGTCCGGAGGCGAGACTCAACGACTTCTTGCGTATGTTTTTTTTTTTTCCTTCTCGCTTATGGCTATGGCTTTTCATGAGTTTTGATGAAATGAAATTTTTTCAGGTCAAGGGCATGTATGAAACTATTGAATGGTGGTGTCAAGCTCCTGATTGCGGACGAGGCGATTTCGGCGATGGATCCTGTCGCTGAGCGTGCGCTGTTGAAGGGTTTCTTGGAACATGGGAAAGGCATGACGATGATCTTTGTCACGCACCGGTTCGCGCATCTCGTCAAGCACGCTGATCAAATTTTGTGAGTGGTCAATCGATGGGATCGATCCCTGATAAGGGGAAGGGTTTTGCTGATGGGTGTTGTAGGTGCCTGAACGAAGGGAGGGTTGTGGAGCGTGGGACTCATACCGAGTTGCTGGGTGTTGAAGGGGAGTATGCTCGAATGTATAACGCACAAGCGGAGGCGTACCAGTGAGTGCTTGGGTAGGCGACCACTGCAAGCTCTTATCTTGATCTTTGGACCTGTTTACTACTCCATCGACGGCTGGATTCTTAGTGTAACGGTGTGCTATATGTCTATGCTTGCTATGTCTTCTGACATCTGTGAATGAAACTGAGTATGGTACTCGGCGCGGTCTGGATAAATGTTCCCCGGCAGAATGCTGTTTGGTTTTAGAGCTCCGATGATCTCAGTAGTGGGTCTCCTCTGATTAGCATGATGGACCCTATAATACCCGTTAGATCGTGGTAATCTCGCACTACGATCGGGCTATTCGTTCAAATTCAAAACAGTGTGCTAAGCCGGTACCTCGCGTTAACACCACACCACGTCTGTGAATTTTCCAATGCGACATGGGATTCGCGAGTCCCATGGGTGTCCTTTTGGCGCTTAGATCGTAATCGCGGATGAAGTAGAGGATAGATGCCTCATGTCGCAGACCGTGTATCTTTTGTTAACACTTGCCTTACATTAGCATCCGTTCGACTTGAAACCTAATCCGCCCCTCCATGCCTTTGAATTTATCGACTAATCGGTATGATCGTCGGATAATTAAAAATGACTTCAAGATACATGGGCAGCGGTAAAGGAACATCTGCGTTATGATCTCGGCAATCTCTTCACTCCTTAGGTACTCGGACTGTTTCAAGAAGAAGTCTGAGTCTGTATGGTTTATCAAATATCAGACGCCTCGGATCTGATTCTTGGACTCACAAATGCCTGAATTCGAAACGCCCGGCCGAAATGAGTGTTACAGGTGTTGAAACTCCGACTGGTATGGACTAAACGGTGCTGTTAAATTTAATTACATGAACGCCGCCCACCAGTTTCGGCGTGGGTATCGCAGGACCTCGCGGCAAGACCGCGGAACAGTGAAGATCAATCCTTGATGGAGCAAGAGGCGGGTACACGAGTCATATGCCGAGAGCTCCCTAAACTTCAACGCGCCACAGGCGTCGGACTGCGGCATGCCCGTAGCGCCTATATGGACCCACATGCTGTCACGGATATATTCGGATCGGAACCGACCGCGCCGGGTGCGAACCCCTGGTAGATAGATCCTTTCTTGCGTTCATCCTTGTTGCTCAGATGCATCTAGACAAACTTGGTCGGCAATTGCGATGGAGCGTCCATTTGAGTAGGACATTTGGGTACCAGATACCTGCCCCGCCGCCTCTCAGGCAACAGCCCCGTATCACGACGTTTTCGGATACGGCGCGTCCCCGGCCTTATCTTGTAAGGAAAAAAGAATTGCCAGAGATAAAAGGAGGGTTGGCGCTGGTTAAGGTAGGTGGTTTTCTTACGCGTGCATTTATGATGGTGACGAATTGGTGTAGAGACCCTGGCTGGCTGTTGTTGCGTGTAGTGTCACTGGTGTATCTGCGTGGACTCTGTTCTGGACTGACATTACCATTGAGGAGAGCTTGTCCAGCCCGATCATGAAGGAACTTATTCATGTACTTCGGAGTGATACAGAAGTGAAGATGATTCTTGGCGAAGCGATTATGCCTGAAGGTCAATGGTGGCATAAAGGACGTCCTAGGGTTTACGGATCTGTGGGTGTCTTCTGTGGGATGATGGTCAAGCTAATTTTCGTCTAGGTTGATATTCCACACGGGTATGTTGATATCAGGTTTAGGGTCGAGGGAAGTAATGGTACGATGGCGCAAAGGGCTGCATCTTTCTATGCTCACGACGCTGTGGCTAGGTTCGGGAACTGTGTATTTCACTAGTAAGCGGAGGGATGAGGCGCCACCATTCGATATAGGTGCATCGAATTGATATCTCTCGGTTACGTTTTACTTCTTACTTACTCCTTTCTGACAGTAAGGTTCAAAGTCGTCGCTGATGATGGTACAGTATGTAAGGTCGACATGTCGAGTGGTCTAAACTCTCGACAGTGAAAAACTAGGAAATAAAACAGTAAATTTGTCTTTGACTTGGCGTATTTTCGTGATATTGACCATCTCCACAGATAGATACCTCATTTATGTATCAAGTGTATTTTTGAAACACTAATTTCATTCGTTTTGTCCGGTCAAAGCTGTTCTCCGGAATCTTCTGGTGGACAATGATTTTTCAGTGGCAGAAAGAGACGAACTTTCTATCGTCGAGGTTCTGGATACATTCATTTGAATATTCTAAAGCCTTCTTTGGCCGACTCGGCGTGGCAATGGCTGGCACAATGAAGCTTGAACCATGAAGACAATGATCGAAGCTCTTCGACTATGTGCTTGTCAGTGTTTATGTGGCTTGTTCCCTCACGAACGATCAAAAATATCCCAAGGTGTCACGTTACCGCATTCTGCAAGCGTGGCTTGGCTTTTGCCACCTAGGAGACTACATATAAAAACCGTTCAATATGAATACCCTCCTCATAACATCCCTCCACCATCGTTCTCCCCCTACCTTTCTTTTTCCATTTCTGTTGTATTTTTTTGATTATCTCTCTCTCTGCTCCTTGCTTCTATCATGGACTTCTCGACTCAAACCTATATACCCCCGCCCTACAGCGTCGTGGATCCCTTCCTTTCAAATAACCAGCAGCATTCGTCCCAGTCAACTGAGCCTGCTTTATGGTCCAACTTTCTCAGTTCTGTCCCCTCCGCTACTAGCGAATATCCTTGCGACGAATCGAAACCGCAAATCCCCCATTGGTCGCAGCTCCCGCCAAGTTCGACGTTGCCGCCATCCGCTATGGGTGTCATGGACCTGGGTGGGCGGCCCGCCGTGACGGAACTAATGTTCCCTTCATCTCTATCCAATGGTCCGATTCCCATGGACTTCCCCGACACTGGAAGCCTCTCTACAGGTTGGCCTCATCCAAAGGCACTGTCTCAGGCCACCGATGATTGTGTAGTTGAGGAAATAAAACCCAGCGTAAGTCGTGTAGATGCCTCTATTACGACGCTATTAATATTTTTGTGTAGAAGCACATATGCGATCTTTGTCCGGGCCCCCTCAAGGCACAGAAAGGCCGGTGGCTTCTTTGTCCAAAATGCACTTACTCGTACGTGTCATGTCTTTTGCTTTCCATTTGGTCTTATTGGAACGCGCTTTCTACGTAGGCTCTTGAATAGACCAGAGGAGCCGAATCCCTTGATTCGCAATGGGGGGAAGGCGACGTTCAAGTGTGTTTACCCTTCGGAGGACTTCCCCGTGAAGAATCACATCGACGAGTCTACGGGAGTGTGCCAGGCGCTGTACGCAATGTACTTGTACTACCTTAGGGAGGAGAGCGCTCTGCACATAAAAGATGGCTTGACACACACTGAATTCCAGATTCTGGTCAAGACGAACGCGTCGCGGCGCGCATATACAGATTTTGGAATCGAACCGCCAATGTCATCCGGGGAGGAAGAGTATGATACTTTTGGGGATGACGATGATGTCTCAGACTACGAGTTTTAGGATGCGCATACGCCTGGACCATCCGATCTCCATGCAAGCGCCCGAGGGGCGAGGAAATGAGCGGGAAAGAAATACTAAGCGCTGGTCGTTTGGACTATCTGTGGGCTGGACAGTTTGTGTCAGTACTGTTATCACGGGTATACCTAGTCATTAATCATTGTTTATCCTATGTCCTACCATAATACACCATAATTCCACCTTTCGTAAAGTGACATATATACCTAACATAAGTTGGCAAGAGAGACCGAGGTCTTTCACATAAGTCTCGCGGCTTCCTTGATATGCATTAATAATCAGCGACAATTGAGCAAGCAGAATAATGAGATCTCGAAAGGATATTTCAAGCGAGCCAGCAAGTGAGCTTTTATTGGCCTCATGGTCGTTTTGGGCCAATTGTAATACCAAATTCAAATTGGCCACGTATGCCGTCGGCAGCAATATGTCATCAGCGTCTAAATTCGTATTTTCCACGCGACTCTATCTACAGCAGCTGTTGTCCCTCAGTTCCCAACCACCATGGCCTCTCCCGACAGGACGACGGAACAGCTGCACGCTGCCAGCAAGGGCTTCAATCTTCTCTTCTCGAATGCCATTGCTGATGCCCAGAAGGAGTTCGCGGCTGACGATTCGCCATTTCACTCCTTGGGTGCTGGCGTCTGCGTGTTTTTGGAGGCGGCCATGGGAATGGAGGTACGTATCTACGCGTGGTGCTGAATCTTTGACTGACCTCGCCTGTTTTACAGTCAGCCAAGATGGAAGAGGCCTCAAAGTCACTGGCCCAGTCCGAGGCTGGCTCCAGGAAACAGATGAAGGCGGCCAAAAGCAGGAGGAACCCCCAGCTACCGCCTGGAATTGAGTGGGAGATTGTGAATGCTGATTCTGTCGTTTTGTTGGGGTTAACGCTTGCTCTGGGGTGCGTGTACCAACATACATGATGTTCTGGTACCTGCTCATCCTTACTGCATCCAGCGAATCGTACATGGGATACCTTCAGTGCATGTAATACCCTCGCCTTTCTTCTCGCGCGCTTTCTCATCCGATTTCAGATACTCTCTCAACAGGCGAGCTTCTTTTATCTCCTCCAAAGCAAGCTGTTAATTCCCAGGTTTAGCGCCCATTCTAAATTTACCAAGTGATTTCTAATTTGTTCATCTAATTTTGAACTAATGATTTCTTCTCAGGTTATTCAAGACCGTATTCCCAAATGGTTTAGATGGGTACCGAACACCTGCTGCATCACCATCCGTATCCCCCAGTCCCAGCATTCGTTCCGTTTCCACCGGTTACGCTCCCAAGACAAGCTTCTTCAGAAAATGGTCTGGGGGGTCCATGCTGGCGGTGCCCGGGCCCATCATTCCTGAAGGTCCCGTCGATGAGCTCGTAATATCAGGGACTGCTTTCGGCTTTGGACTCTTTAACCTCGTCTTCTCCCTTTTGCCTAAACGTATACAGTGAGGTGCTCGTCCCGCTCTGCGCGTCATCTATTCAATTTTTACAGGGGCGTTGTCGGTTTCTTTGGTTTCAAGCATGATCGCAAGCTCGCTCTCCAAGCTCTCGCAGTCTCCGCTGCTAAAACGGACGTGCATTCCGTCTTCGCTGCGCTGGTGTTGATGACATACCACGGCGTTGTTCTCCTCCTTGCTGGCTATCAGGCCGATGAGGCCCATATCCTCAAGCAATACGGTGCAATGGTCGACAGCGTCAGTAAGCGCTATCCGACGGGATCGTTATGGATATTGAACCAGGTCCGTATCCATGATATCTAAAGTCTGTATCCTCGACTGACGCGTTATCCCAAGGCCAAGATTAAGCGGATGTCATACGACGCATCGGCGGCTATTGCAGTTCTAAGAAATGGGCTGAAGCCCGATAGAGACGTGTCGTTCAGGCAGGCCGATACATTACTTGTTTTCGAGTTAGCGTGGACACTGTTGGCCGAGAGAAGATACGAGGAGGCCGCCATCGAATTCAAAAGGATGACGGAGTTGAACAACTGGAGTCATGCTACCTACTTATTCATCGCTTCCGGTGAGAACTTTCGTATCCTCGTCATCTCGTACTTATGCCCTGCATCTCAGGGTGCTACATCGCTATCGGCAACCTGGACAAGGCACAGGAGTTGTTTGATGCCGTCCCTGAGTTCATCGATAAGCGGAAGCTGGGCGGCAAAGATTTGCCAATGGAGGTTTTGATCAAGAAGAAAAGTTGGTGTCATGCCTTGAACGTCAGAGCCTTGCTGACGATCATCCACAGTCGAGTTCTACAAGGAGAAGCAGAAGCGACGCGGCGGAGATGAGAAGAATCTTGTACAGTGCATGAAGATCAGTCCAGCCGAAGGTACGTTCGTTCCTTCTTGAGTCTGGGCATCGCTCTGATCGCTATTCTAGAGATGGCGATATGTAAGGATTACCAGTCACCCTTTCAATGAAGCTGACATATGTATAGTCTGGAACACCCATCAGCGAATCTCGAGGTCCGTCGCTGAGGCTCACATTCGAGATTGGACGTCCCTCACGCCGCGGCCCACCATACGGAGCGCTTACATGGAAACTCTTGACCTGCCTCCTCCTCCTTCTGATGCTCCGCTTGACCTGGACACACCTGATGAGCTCGCTTTGCGGTCGCTGCTGCTCGGTATTGTTCATCGAGCAACTAAAGACTTCCAGTCTTCTCGCACGTTCTTCCAGGATGCGATTGGAAAACAAGGCGAAATACGCATTAGTACATGGATCGGCGGCGTGGCGACGTTCGAGCTGGCTGTCGTCGACTTGAAAGAGAAGGAGGCAGAGGGGAAAGAAGGAGGTGGATGGGAGGAGGTGCTGGAGGGTGCCGAGGCCAAGCTGGACAAGGCAATGGCTCTTTCGACGCACTCTACAGATTTGTCATCGAGGCTGGATAGCCGTATCTCAATGCTGAGGGAGGAGATTGGGATGAAGAGGGAGATGTTGGCCGTCGAGATGGGACAATAAGGAAGAGGAAATTCGTTACTTTTATGTCATTACAGGTTATACAGGACACTATCATTTCCAAGTACAGGATATCACTCTCCTTTCTACATTAGACTAGACTCATTAAATAATTGCATAACAGTTCGTAGGAGTCTTTCAAGTTTGGATTCCTCAGTTATTAACCGACTCTCACAGTTAGTAAGTGGCACCAACTTCCATGTTTTTAGTTTTTTTTTTCGAGGGGTACCCCAAAATGTGGGAGGGTGGGATAAGATTGCGTGCGCTTTTCAGTACGCATTCTCCAGGTGCCATTCCCGGGGCCGCGTTTCATAGTACCCGGTCTGACAGCTGCCGCTCGGTATTTTACCCAAGTTGGCACTAGTACTGATTGCAACGGCTCGGCTTCACGTGTGAGTCTCATAGAATTCTTTATCATGGCGATTCAGAGTACCTGGTAATTCGTTAGAGTCCTGCATTATTGGGCAGTTAGCGGCTAGTGTAACGGCACAGCTGCGCAGGGGACCAAGGATCAACGAAGCCTTATATAGGTAATCCCACCTTCCCACTGATTTGGGGTATACTCGTTTTTTTTTTTCGAACAAACAAAGACCATCCCTTGTCTGTCCATTGTTTCTTTGACAGTACGGTCATAGTTGCCGACGCCACTGACGCAACGCATCATTATTGTCCTCTATGTGAGCTTTTGTCTTTCTTCGAAACTACTAGTAGTGACTATATAATCGTGTTTTCGTGTACTTCTTTATTCCCACGTTCTTCCACTGAACACCATGATCGACTCTGCTGTAACCCCTGCTCCCACCATTCCGGCGCCGCAGCTTAGCGGAACGACTTTTTCAACACAGACCGAAACAATTTCTTCTACCGCCATTGTCGTGCCACTCGGAAAAATGTCGAACGAAGATGCGAAGACTGACGTTTCGGAGGAACTGAAGACGAGAGTTGTAGAGAGTCTTGAAGGTCCGTCTCGGTCTTTATGAGAAGACTATCTATAACCATGGACGCTGATTGTTTAGCTCATCGAATCGCGCATGAGGGAACTGTGAAGGTGCTTCAGAGAAATGTCGACTTGGAGACGAATTCTGCTTCTGTCAATTCATCCGGTGGAGATTTGGACTGTGCTTCAGATCCGAGGGCTCCTTAGTGACTCAAGATGAGCGTACATGCTGTTCTGGTTGATGTGTTGATATTTGTCAAAATCTAGCCTGGCGATACTGTAATGTATCTTGGAGATGCGATTGGAAGGACGAATGTTGAGATTTATATTCATAAATAAGAACATGACTCTCTGCCGCCATCGACCCGACCCATTGAACGGGATGATGGTCTAATATTGTTCTCGACCGTCATCCAGACGTCCGCGGGCCTGTTCACGACTTCCTTCTATCTTGAAAGATCGATGGCTCTTCTCCGCTCTCCCCCTGAAAAATGGTGATTGCTTGATTCAGATGGACTGTTCATCAATCCAAGGCACACCCATTCTTGATTTGAGTTGTTGAAGTCTTCCTCAGACTGTCTTATGATAAAATCGCGCCGTGGTCGCTTTTGAATTGGGATGAACTGGTTCGTGGAATATCCGAGTTCTAATTTAGGACCTAATGCAATCCATTATCCTGGATCTGCTCTCCTATTTTGATAAGATCCTTCTTTGCTTGGGGTTATTGTTAGGATCCATACCCTGTAAATGGATTTCGCAGTGTGTGAACTGCATTGACGTGCTCAATCGTGGCGGCCAATACGACTGGACTCAGTGGACGGGTGGCGAACCTGCTCGCCACGTGCAATGGCTTCCATAGTAATTACAACATGACTATCCCTCCCCTTTGTTTCTGACAATGTCTGTCCACCGAAGCTCAACCGAAGCCTGTTTACCGTGTATGTCATTCACATGTAATGCCTGTGGTTTAGTGGTCCATACGGTTTCCGGACGAATTTCTCGACATGTTAACGTCTTATTAGGGCTTATCTCTCCTGGCCATATGCCGCATCTCGCTCGGATCCGGAATTTTGACGTTCGTGTGTCTAAATATCACGGACTGATTTGTCACGGTCATGGGAATTCTAGCTCTAACAATGGAGGAAGAGAGGATAAGGCTCATGACTTTACTCTTCCTGGAATTTCCACGATGTCTTATCTTGGGGAGAACGGCGCGTCGGTTTGAAGAATATAAACGTACCTTCAGGTTGGACTGTTCCATATCGTTCCTCTTGATAATGGTTAAAAAGAGAATGATATTTAGTACTATAGTAGTGGGGCTCCATTCATCCTTGCTCTGGTTCTTTTACCACAGATGAGACTGGTGCCACGAGGGCCAAGGCTTTGTTTTTCGCTAATCAAAGATGCTGGGAAAATATTTCGTTGACAAATGAGAGGGTGCGTGAAATTTTCTGAGGGCCATCTCTACAGGGAAGTGGTTCGAAGAAACGCAAATTGCAATTCAATTGAAGGCGGACGCTGTAAACTTGGCAAGGCGATATGTGCTTTGAAAATACGGTAGTTGATTGCTTATGGACAGAGATTACTTCAAGAAGCGGAACGAAGGAGGTTGGATAAGGAGACTTGAAGGAGCTACGAACGGGAAGAGGGAGGGAGGGCCTCGGAGAAAAAAAATCTCTCTCTCTCTCTCTCTCTGTGTGTGTGTGTGTTTTACCTCTATTACACTTCCTAGAACATTCTCTGGGATATAGGTCTAGCAGCCGAATGCAATGGCGGTGTTAAGTATGTAATGGACGGGAAAAAAAATAAGAGCGGTTTTTTCAGTGGACGGATGGCACCAAACAAGCGAGCTTATACTGATGGAACCTCCATTGTCATCATAGTCATTGATATCCCAAAGATAAGGATCAAAGCAGTCCTAGAACTTATTGTATGAAATGGAAGGTGAACCTTAAGCGGGGGCCGAAAATGGATAAAAGGATTTTGAGGAACTAGGATGGAGATGAAGCGTGAGTTTGAATGAACTATAGTTGTTTCAGGGCTAGAACAACCTATTGAACAAGTTGAATCAAGGTGTCAAACTCCCATGCTACAGCGACACAAGGCTTGGAGATTCTTCAGCATCCTGTTATCAGTACTCGACAACACTCATTCACTTCGTTTTGTACGAGCGACAGGATAGATCTGGATCCTCGAAATTGGAACGAGTGGTTGGGGAACAGACAGACGAGAATGGCGAAGTTTTCCACGAGGCTGGTTGGCCGCACCCAGGCTTCTACGCGACGTGCGCGTATGACGGTCCCTCGATGATTAGACAGAATCCACAGAATGAAAGGCAGGCGCTATCAATTGGGCCGAAACAGGTCCGTAATCGCAAGTTTTAAGCAGCGGTCGACTTTCAAGCGATGGTCTTTCCTTGCCAGAATTTAGAAATGTCCAAGTTGTTACTTGGCCGAGACCCATCAGCGCATCAGTACCGGTCAATGTTCACTCTGATTTATAGATCTAGAGGAAGTCGAGAGTCCGACTCGAGACAATGGGGGAGCGGTAGCGGCCGCAATCAGAAAAGGATTATCCGCCTGGAGTCGGGGCCCGTCGGACTGCGGAGTAAGCAAACCATTTTGGCTCAGTTCGATTTGTCGTGATCGGCTTTGTCCAAGATGCGGACAATCAAACAGATTGATACCTCCGCGGAGTCATTGGGACTATCACTTCGAGAGAATGTCGAAAGGCTGCTAGTTACTAGTCGCGATACCAGGGTAAGATACTCGCAAGTTTCACATAAGTACAGTCAAATATTCTCATAGACAATAGGATATTTAAATGCGCGTGTATGTACAGTACAAAACAGATTGATCATATGAATAATAAAAAATGGGTAAAGTCAAGCCCTCCAAAACACGTGAGTGTGGGATACGGACCGCGCCGATCCCAACTCAACACGCCTTTCTTTTTGACAACCATACACGATTGTCAAGAGCGATACCCAACCACCGCCATGCTGGAAGCGTCGGTATATTTGCTCTGTCCCAAACTCTCCATTGAGATTTGGGAGGAAATAATGGACGAGGTCGCCGCCTCGAACGCACCTTCAAATTTTTGATTATCCGGCAGGTCTTCCCCCCAGAACTTCACGAACGATTATCCGCCGGAGGAGACTCGACTCGACTTAGGATGATGCAGTCTCGTTTGTCGGTCCTGGATTCCTCGTGTTTGATACCATCTTTTTGGAACCATCACTCTCAAGTTGATTTTGATTTCGCTCGTCGCTACCGGCATTGTGGATCTTCTCCTCCACCGAAACTCGACAATCAAATATCCTATTGGATGCCTCAGAGTAGAAACCGAGTGCTACGAGACTGCGGACACTCTCATGAAGTACTTGCCTAGTGTACGCAACCTTGTTCTGAGCTCGATCGATTTGTCTCTGGTAACCACTTATCATTTCACGCCATTACATAGCTCTCTCTCTCTCGCTGCCTATTTTCCTCTCCCGAATCATTCGTCCAGTCTATCAGCCTATGCCGATCGTTGAGTGCTCTGAAGCTTGAGCGAGTCGTTTTTTTTTCGTAGCAGTAGTATGCGAGTCCCCCTCTGGGGATCATTCCATTTCTACGAGGATCAATACACAAGTTATCAAAGGGGTATCTTCGCGTATCTGGTATTTTCTACCTATAGTCACATCTGCCATCCGTACGCACTTCATGGGCTCTGATGATTTATACCTACCTGTATATCGATACATCAATGATATAGGTGGATCTCTCAAACACGTCGCCGTTCCTCCCCTCTCTACATTCTCTGAAGTGTTGTTCTGATTAGGTGGGGCTTGGAGGCATTTTGGAGGAAAGGAGGTTTGCTGAGATGAAGTTGATGTTATGCGTTATGCGCCAGGAGGATGTGAGCGACGCTGAGAAATGGACGGGGACAGCGAAAGCTTTGCGTCCTTTGTTTGAGCAAGGTTCAGACAAGATATGTGAGGATCACATTTATGATATTTTGTAGATGTGCGTTCGGAAATTTGTTTTATTTTGTTTTCTATTTAGGATTTATTGTAAAAACGGTGTTTCAGATAAATATAAACAAGATGTGGTATATGATACATTGGACGGTATAACTGAATTGCGAATAGACAATAAGAAAATGTGAAACATGAAACGTCCAGAAGAAGAGAGAATTAGATCAAGGGAAAAGGTTCGATACTGTGTCCGCTCCATTCAAAGTTCGAACCATGCGAGGGCTGCTCCAAAGACGAAGACGAGGATGGCGACAGGCCAGAGTCAAAGAGAAACGGGCTTAGTGGCGCCTCGGTCTTTCCTAATGATAAGGAGGAGGAATCCCCAACCAATGAAAGGTTAATTGGGAGAAAGAAGGAGGAATCGACGGTGGTATCCGCAGCGTCAAGTTCCAGTGTACTTGGGTACGTCGCTAGCGTATTATCGAATGTGAAATCGGATGTGGATGATTGGCTAACACCAAAAGGCGAGGGAAGCGAAAGGCGTTCGTGTTCCCCAAAGGACGTCGATGTGGACGAGAATGACGACGCAGGTGATGCTGCTTGAAAAGAGAAATCGAAGGAAAATGAATCTGTTACGGCAGACTTGGGGACCAGGGAGTCCAGCCATTTCTCCATAGCATCTATGTCGAACCTCTCCTCGTTCGAGGTCGTAGCTTGGAGGTCGCTATGCTGTCTGGCGAACATGGGTGATGTAGGGAGTCTCTCTTGGAAGCTGGGGTCTACGTCAGACTTGAAGGAGGTCGACAGCGACATGAGTTCTTCGGGGGACCAAGGACCAAGGTCCGACTGGGGAGATGGGGGTAAGGCGATGAGTCCTTCGAGTTGCGTGCCAGCATCGATAGCGGGAAGAAGCTGCTTCGGTGGGAGTACTGGATACCCGACGTTCCCGAAACCATGAAGAATCTTGCATGTTCGCATATGTCGGGAGAGGCAGCCAGCGCTAGCTGAGTCGTAAGTGCAGCCTATGCCAGGGCATTTGTAGGGCTTTTCACCGGTGCTGAGGAAAGAATAGAGTTGGTGGTGCAGAGAAATCGTGCAGAGAAAACTTACTGTATGGCACGCATGTGGGCCCTGAGGTTTGGCATCTGCCACATGCGCTTGGGACAGTGGTCGCATTTGTGCATGCGGCTGAGAAAACGGGGAATAAGTAAAAGTTTGGAATGAGAGATGAAGAAGGTCTACCTCTCGGCGTCGGGGCCGTGGGTCTTGGCATGTCGGCTAAGGCCAGTCGCGTCGGCGTATACCTTGAAGCAAATTTGGCATTGGGCCAGGGTGCGTTTCTGGATAAAAGAGAAGATTACATCAGCATTGGGACAATTGGGTGCCACTAGGCCCTGATATAGAGGGGCGAAGTGCTCACGGTAGATTTCTTGGAGGCAGCGCGGGGCATTTTGTTCAGTATAGGGCAATGTGAGGGACGGAGGGACTAGTATGTAGTATGGCTGAAGGGAAACCGCGAGGGATGGGGAAAGACATGCTGGGATGCCCCTCCTTATATTGGTTTTCGAGGGAGGTGAATTGGTTGTGGGGATATTGACTTTTATGGACAGAGTTGCTCGTTCGGTATATCCGCAGGACAATGTTTGACAGGACGTGGCTTTTATGGCTATTAATCGAGTACCAATCGTTGGAATAGCCGTTTTGAGTAATCGTGAGGCGATGCTTTGGCCATCCGAGTGACAAGAAGTGGCACCGGGAAGGGTGGGGTGGCACCCTGAGAGAAAACTATCAGTTCATTTGCCGAGCAACGATTTTGCGAAAATCCCATACATTTAATAAGTGATTATTTCCCGTCCTTTGGGCAGGAGATAGCCTGTAGAGCCGTTGCTACACCTCGCGTCTTCAAACAAAAGGGATATCGGCGGCCCGGACGAACAAGGGGAAGGCGCTCCTGGGTGATTGTCGAGGCAGGTAAATGGTTTCAGAGTAAGAAATTGCAAAACGATACTCAGAATTTGGAAAACCAAAATATGAAAGAAGGCGTAGCAATGTCTGCAATTGCAGGTTCGTCGAGGACCCTGGCCTCCCGCGGGACTTGCTTCGATGATACTTACATTATAATATTACTAGGGATATACGGAATAATTTTTAAAAGTGAAGGTGGGGAGTCGTTGGTGGGCTATGATATTAGATCATTGGACAAACTTCGGGCGACAACACAAAAGAGCATTCCCGCTGAGTCAGCGCGCCCAGGAGTCGGGAACATCACATCACAGTCACAGTCACATAACATCCTTCTCTTGAACCATCATCCATCTTTGCAGCTTCGACCGCTGCCGGCACGTAAATGCGTCTAACGGGAAAGGTGTGGTATAAATTTTCTTTATTTCGAGAATCCCATTGATTGTTTTTTCTCTGTTGCGCAGATGGAAGAGCTGCATGTTCCGTACTAGGGAAATGGGCGAGGAAGAGACTGGGCTCTATTACCTACGGAAAGTGGTGCGTCTTCCACCTCTAGAAACGGAATGCTTACATGGATTCGTCCACTAGGCTGAATCTTGCTGGCATGTTGTGAATCACAGAAAAGCAGTGCTCGGGCTTGTCCACTATGGATGAAGAATGCCACTCGTTTCACCTAGCGTCGTCAGCGAGGGGACAAGATTCAGAGGGCGACAACTAGGAATAGGAAAAGAAGATGCTGGAAGACTGAATCTCTGTCATGAGCGGGGTCGCATACCTCGACCGTTGCCGCTCCTGTATTCGAGAAACGACAGAGGTACGTCCTACTTCACCCTTTTTGTATTACCTCGTCACTCACTAACAACAAGGGAACCGAATTACTACTCTCAAGGCCTTGAGAGAGATTGTGCCACCGTTAAATGTTACAGCCTCGAGTTGCCATCAAGCGTGTAGAGGTATAACGCAGATGATATCTGTAGAGTTGTTACCAAATGTTGTCGACCCTCCGCGGAAAAGAAGTGACGATAGGAAACTCACGAATTGGTGTCACAACGACGACAACCCCTACAGGTCTGCCTCGGTTGAGCAATATGAACCTTTGAGGTTCCCCGTCACTATGCGCTAACGCTATGATTCTGATGAAGGTAACTGACGTTGCAGATAAGATAAGATAATCATGGACGTACGTTGTCCCCTATGCGAGGAACTTGCCGCTCAAGCATGACATTTTGTAGCATAATGCCCTCTTTTGTGCGACCTTGTTGTGCAACCATCGTTCCAGGTGACGCACAAAACAGATATCAGAGTGTGCACATGTGCGTTATGCTCGTGGTGTTCGTCGCTGTCTCTTTGCGCGACAAACATCAATGCGGCGGTTGCGCTGCGAAGCTTTTTGTCTCTGTGGGCGGGAGTGGTCCTTGCTCAGCCAAACAATATCGAAGGCTGTGGCAACGTTCATCGCAGACCTCCGAATCGTTACTCTTCTCATGGTCGGCGACGTCATCGTCAAGAACATAACGATAGTACGTAACTGGACACACTTCTCCTTGTCTATTCTTCAAATATTGATAGCGTTGTCTCAGGATATAACCGTCTATCTTGTGTGAACCCTGCACCGTGGTCATGACGGGTGTCGCTATTTGGTGAGTTTCGATCCTCTTAGATGAATGTTAGCTGAAACGGCCCTCAGAGGGAGGCATGACAAATAGCGGCAGCGATGTCCTTACTTCGCAAGACGATTGTGCTATCTAGCTTATCTACGATATCAGAGTCTTCAGCTTGGAAGGGTAGGCGCTCATTCGCCAGTAGTCAAACTCAGAGATGCTAAGCCCTAACGTATAATTATGCTTCCGCTCGCGCACATGTCATGATGGTCTGTAAGCCAAGGAGGATCGCTCCACTGTCATTACATTTCAGTGCCACAATTGACGTTGATCTACCTCAAGAACAAGGGTGCCGGGAATCAACCTGGAGGCTATAAGAGCCGAACGTGGTTTAGGGACATCATTTGATATGTGGCGTGTGATGTGGGGAGGTGGAGCTGAAGCGCCTTGTGTTTCATCTCTTTTGCATCCAATGCATTACAAGTTAACGAAGCTACGGTGATGTATATGTTGTTCGATGGATGCAACTGGAGGATAGCGCCAAGGCAAAGGTGAAGTAGACATCGTCTTTATAAGGTCTTACACTGATCGGAATGTTACAGCCTCATTAGCAGCCTGCGCCGGATTCTACCGTCAATTCCCGCTTCCAATACCGTAAACATTACCCTTAATAGTGTGGAGAAACGCTGCGCTTTCCTCGTCCAACACTCCCTGTCTCCCACCCCGCGTTAGGCAGGGAACGTGTCTTTACCTTGCCCACCAGAAGTGTCAGTGAACTCCACCAATTCCAAGCCGGCACTGCATTACAAAATGGAAGAGACGAGCACTGCTCCCTTTTCATCACCTGACGACTTCGAGAAGGGTACTCCAAGTAACGAGGAGAGATCAGCACCCGAACATCTCTTCGTCGTTGAACGTGTCGCAGAAAGGAGGTATGTTTGCCACTGCCACTGCCATCGAACCAGGATGACGAGCTGATGCCGGTTCGTTTCACTGGCAGGCTGCTTCGACAGCTGGATCTCCGGATCATCCCCAGTTGCATGTCCATTTATACCCTCAATTTCCTCGCCCGCGCCAATATTGTACGCCGATCTGATGATGCCCGATCGTTCTCTTAATTAAATTATTTGTCAGGGAAATGCGAAAATCCTTAATGCCGACAGCGGTGACTCATTGTTGGAGGTCCTTGACATGACAAGTGGCCAGTTCTCCACTGTGCTGACAGTGTTTTTCATTTCTTATGCACTGTTCGAGACGCCGTCGAATTACATGCTCAAGCATTTCTCTCCTCCGCATTGGTTTGCGTTCCTCATGGTCGGGTGGGGCGGAACGGATATGATCATCTCGTGCGTCAAGAGCTACAGTGCGCTGATGGGACTTCGGTTTCTGCTTGGAGCATTTGAAGCGGGTATGTCACAGAGGCATTTTAGCAGGACAGGAATGTCTCATCACCATCACAGGGTTCTATCCGGGAATAATCTACTTTCTCACCTTGTCAGTTCTATTTTCGTGTTCTGTACTATTCTCTGCTGACCGATTGCCTGAGTAGCTGGTACCGACCGCAAGAGCGGGCTCTCCGTCTCTCTCTTATCGCCTCTTGTGCATCGTTGGCTGGTGCTTTCGGAGGTAGCATCGCGTATGGCGTTGGTCTGATCAATGGCTCGAAAGGCTTGGAAGCGTGGCGATGGTTGTTCATCATTGAGGGCGCGCCATCATGTGCACTGGCGGTGGCGGCGTACTTCTTCTTTCCGGCGTATCCAGAGACATCGATTTGGCTATCTGAAAAGGAACGGGAGCTCGCCATCAAGCGCCTCAGAGGTGAATCGTCTTTAGGCCATGAGAGGATTACGTGGGCGGAGACGAAGGACACATTGATGGACTGGAGGTTGTACCTTCACTACCTCGCCTTCATCGCCGTCTGCGTTCCGTTTTCGAGCATCTCGTATTTCGCGCCGACCATCGTTAACGGACTTGGATACGAAGGACTACGTGCTCAGCTGTTCACTGTGCCACCTTTCGCCATAGCCTTTGTCGCGACAGTTACCTGCTCGGTATTTGCAGATCGATATGAAGCATGGTCGACGTTTGCTTGGATCCCTATGGTTGTTTCCGGTGCCACCTTTCTGATACAGGGTACGTTCAGTTCTGAGTTGGCCTCATCTCAGTTCGGGTGATTGACATTGTAACATATAGGCGCACTTTCACCTACAGCGTTCAAAGCACGTTACGCCATGTTGTGTCTCAGCACGACGTTCTCCATGGTTTGTAATCCATCTCTTATAACATGGCTGACTGTGAATCTTCGAAATACCAATGCCACGACACTCGCTATTCCTTTGATGGTGACGATTGGGACGGCTGGACAGATCACCGGTGAGTTCAGTCTCAGTTGGTATATCCTTTACGGGTTCGCTGAGTATGTCTATAGGTGTATATATTTACAAGGGTAGTGAAGCGCCAGGATACCCTACTGGACATTTTACCAATGGAGCATTCCTATTGGCGGGAGCCCTTGTAATCCTCGTTCTCCGCGAGGTGTATCGGAGACGGAACCTGAGCATGAAACGTGGAAGTCAGCCATGGCGTGTGTGATATCTTTCGGATGGTTGGTCCATATAGAACTTTAGAAGTTCGAAGGGCTATTTATGACCGTTGAACGGGCTGCTTGGTGTGACAATACTTACAGAAATGATCACTCCGTTTTATTTACCAATTTGGTGTTCACTGCTATCGATGGCAGCACTTGCTGGTCAGCGAATCTGTGAACTAATCGCATAATGACGCTGTTTTGAACAGACTGAAAGTTTATTTTGATCTCTTTCGTCTTGATGTGGACGGTGGACGGTGGGAGTTAAGGCGACCGCGAGTAACAGAGTACAGAGCGTTCAACTTCATTCTTATATTGTGCTGCCAGCAGTCACGATTAATATGGGGCTTGTCCCCATCAATAAATGTTTAATGTGTTGGAGCACGACATGGGAGAAATGCAGAGGTAGACGTATAAGGACATGACAAGGGAAGCACCTGCCGCTTCGAACATCGGATCTTCATCAATCCCCAGAATAAGTTGGGTCTTTTCACGGGGCAACGGCGAAGCCTGCAATATAACAGACATAACCGTATTCATGAATGATTGATTGGTATAACACTGATATCTCCGCAAACGGAACGGAACGGAAAGCGTGACATTAAAGGAGAACCCTCCCTTTGAGGACGATATCTACCGATAAGCGAAGTCTGGACTGGCCTTTAGACCGTCAATGAATAATGTAAATTCTAGGCCAGATTCCAAAGATTGGCAAAGATTCAGGATCAGTAGGGAATCGAATCTGAATCAACCTCCATCAGATCAGCGACGCCTTTGTTTTATTGAAGACTCAACGACATTCTTGGATGTCGTTTTTACTGTCAGTACTTCTAGAGAAGTTAGAGTGGCTAAAAAATTGTTTAGCGATCATCAAGCGTTTCACGAATACTGGCGCCGAAATATTATGTCCCATTTCCATTAAAAGGAAAACTGAGGTGAAGCGCTTCCAAATTGAGAGGATCTGGGTTTTATGACTCCAGCTAGATTTTACAGCGCTTGAATGAACTCGAGTTCGGATTCTTGCGAATAGAGTGTTGTCAAGAGGAGGAAAGGCTATATATATGACTCAGACTGCGGATGATTTGAAACTTTTCTTCACGTATCGGATATATGACTGATTTGAGCTGCCGCTATGCTCTTAGTCTGCAAGAAAATACAACAGCTATTCCATATCAAAATATGAAAATGAAAACTAAAGCTTTTGCTCCTCGATGTCAGTCCCTGTATTCGGCTTAGCACGAACTTCATCACCATACCGCAAATCTGTTTTTAGAAATCGGACATTTCGCTGGACTCTACAGCGTCAAGTCGTCATCTGCAACTGCAAGAGAAATAGTGTTATCTTTCGTAGTTGCTCCTGCGCGAAATGCTTGTAAAATGTTTGAATAAACCAACGAGGGGTCCTTAGCAGTATATTCGAACCGCCTGCGGAGAAACGCACCGGAGCAGAGCCATCGTGTGAATGTTGCGAGGCGGCCATAGATGAGGACCGTGAAGAGGAGACACCAATACTGGAGCATCATCACGGCACAGTGCGGCCTAGCAGGCGATCTGGCCCGCGCGTCTGTCGTCCCTTGATAGCGTCGTTTTCGAACGGAAAGCCGCGGGGGACATATTCGATGTTTTCTATGCCTGTCTGCTTGCCCCGGAAGAAGCCGCCGGCTCGACAGGTGAGGAACAAAAGGGCGGGTAGACAAGTCATGTTTTCCCTTTTTTTCTCTTTTATTTTGTAGGTAGTATGATTATAATATAGAATCACCAATGTAGCACCACGAGAAAGATACATAGAATTACACACGAAAGTTATGCCTTCCATAAAGTTGTAAAGCAAAATAACATAGCAAAGAGTAGTGGTATAGTTCTAAGTAGCCTCAGCGTACTCTGCCCCTGCGTCTTCGCCCATAACGAGGTGTGTTGTGGGTTACCAATATACATATTCATCATCTATGCCTATCTCTTCTTCACAAATCATTAGGTCTCTGCACACCTCCTGATTCATAATCCTCGTGTGCTGGTCAGTCTCTTCCATTCCCCATATCCACATCGACCAGCAAATACACATGGTTTTCTGGACTTGAGCTGTGACAACATGGGGTCTTCATAGCTGAAAAGATAGGTTCCACAATCTTATGGTGCATCGTACATGTAGTCTACTCAAATATCAAAGGCAAGGTTACCACAGATGGAATGGTCTGAAGTACGGCACTTGAGAAGCGTCTCACAATAATCTGGCTTCGGGTTCCTACATCAGCACAGGCCATCCCTGAAGAAACTGTAATCTGACCGGAAGAATCGATCCTGGAACGGACGAAGCGCACAAACTCGTCAAACTACATACGGAATGATTGTACCATTATAGATTCCGAGAGGCCCGCCATAGAAACGAGCGTATCCCTACACCTATCTTGGACGGCTGCTCTGTCCTGTTGCGCGAGGTCATGGCATCGTTCCACGGTATATGAAACGTTTTCGTTGAAGGGCCAACCAAGAAGCCCCCGTGCATTCCCAGAGCGATAATATCCTGATGTATTGTCCCGATCTTCTAGGGCTCGACGGGGAATTTGTTTTCGGAACTGAGGCTTTTTGAGAGTAGAGAAGATTACGGGCGAAGGGACCTATGCGGTTGCTTTCTTTTCGAAGTAGGCTGAGGCTGGGTTCATCTCCCAGGGTCTAACATGAAAGAACGTCAAAGCAAAAATGAGGAAGACCTTGCGTGTCACGTACTCCAATATTTCGGAGAACTTGCCGAGAGATCAAGAGGGATTGAACACTTTTTTTTTACCGTGTTTGAGATGTAGGAGGAACCTCATCGGAGTCGCAGAACGACATTGATGTCATCGCATGAAAGCGTTGTCGTCACGGGTCAACTTGCGATTTGAAATCCTATCCACATGTACGGTAGTGAGGGATGCGTCCGTTTAGGTTCATCTACTCCACGTGCCCTTCCAATTGCGCTCAGAACTGCCTCCGAGCCTGGAAAGACGTCACGTCTAAATCTTATCACGGATGTGCTGCTCTCTATAGATCAGTCTGCACTTCAGTCGTAGAAACTACTCACAGTTGTCTCCATTGATCCAATGTCCCCCAAAGCGACCAAGTTAAGGTTTCGGTCGCTCTATAGATAGACCCACGTTATTAGCGGCACTGAACGCGAGCTATTGCAACCGTGACACGGAAGTCCGTCTGCTTTCTACATAAGAAGAGACGGAACAGTCCGGGTCTTTGGGGCAAATACGCGTCGAAGTGAATCGAGGAGAACGTCTCGTTGCCAATCTTGACAATTATGCATTACATTCGTCAAATGCTGTTGACGAACTGAGAGAGAAAACATGCCTCATCCATTCCGAGAGCTCTGGAGTCAGGGTACCAAGAAGTTAAGGACTGTAGACTCACATCTATCGCCAGTGCAAGAGAAGATGGATGAACAGGCTACCACCTGTACTCTGACTCTGACTCCGGTTTCCATTCGAACTTTTTTGATGGATATATCGTTCATCTCGGCAGATGTACTTAGGTCTGGAACCAAACAAAAATGTGAGCCAAGACCTGGTTTGTTAACAACAAGGTAGCCATCCGGTAATCGGGCTGATCATTATAATGCTGGGTGTGTACGCTTGTAGGTGTGGACGATCGGGAAAAATGTGAACCCGAGAGCAACCAGGTATTTCTGGGACCGCGCTCCTGTACGACTCTACAGGAACCAAAATCCACGGTCGTCATGACACAGAGCGTCCTAATGTACGTTCCAGTAAAGAGACCCTGTTCGTTTCTTTTTAAAAGTCGAAGAAGATTCCAGTGAATGGACCGGACTCGAACGAAGTGCGATTTAGAGTTTAGAGGAGGAGTAGGGGTGGGAGAGATCGGCGAAAACTTGACCCCTCGGCCCGAGTGGTATTTATTTACCAATAGCTTCCATTCCGACCGGTATTTCTAAACGGGACTCGCCTCCGGTTGTTTCTGCCAGGCAAGAGGGGGGGGAAGGTCGCAGGTATATGCTGTTCAAGCTATATCTCATTTTTTGCCCCACCTGAGACGCGGGCCTGAATTCGTATACAACACGACCGCTCGACGAACCAAGATTTGTCCCCTGATACTTGCAACAACCAACCCCAGTTTCCCGCCGTACGAGAATAATAAACTTTCTCGTAAAGAAAATTATCAATCAAACCGCAGTTCTGAAGAATCAGAACAAATGCTCCCTTCGCATCGTGAATGTCCCATTCGTCTTTGTCTTTGTTCGAAGAGATGTGGGTATATATATATAAACATCCCCCTATTCCCAAGCTGCCCAGCCAACAAAACACCGGTGATGCGTTGCGTTGCCAATACATATTCGCGGGTGCGCCTGATTTTCTCCCATTGCATTCCTGTCCCCTATGTCGATCAAGCGCGCAGTATCCCATCTTGGCTGATCCGAGAGCTCGCCCAGCTTCAGGTAGATTTTGCGAGACATCAGACGGGGACGTGAGTCGCTGCCCGCTAGCAATTAAAGAACAATCCCTCTCACGCCAGAATAAAGTTTTCCATCAGCAAAAAGAAAATGATCTTGTTCCTTTTTCCCTGTTGTGGATCTCTGTTTGTTGTATGCAGCGCTTCCGGCTTGGTCATAAAGGCGAGGTTTATGTTCTCATGTGAGCTTTTTTTTGTCTCGGGGGTTTCCCCCCCTCCGCGCAAGTGGGTTTTTGGGTATGCGACCGCTTCCGTGCTGCCTATCAATTCATTCACCTCGGCTGCGGACTATATCTGCGAGTTGAACTTTCTCAACACAGCATTGAAGGGGGCGGGGACGGCGATCATTCTCGCATCGCCTTTGGAAAAAAAAAATCTGTCCCTTCCGTAACGAATACGAAAACAAAATCGGTTGTAAAGCAGTGAGCGGGTGAAGAGAGGGATAACCATACCGGAGCCCTGAGAAAAGAAAAAAAAACGAAGGTTTCGCACTCCGCACAATCAGAAGGGGCCGACGATTTAAGTACTTGGATGGGTATAGGCGTTGACCCCGGAATTCATTTCGGCGTTCTGGATCTCCTCAGACCGTAGGTGCGAGCAGCAACGAAATGCTACTGCTTATGTGTGCTAGAATGGGTATTTTATTTTTCGCTCTTCCGTAATATCTGGATAAACTGTTTCCTTGCATGTCCAGAATTCGGTAGGGGGATCCGACCCCTCCGATCTCGTATCAGGGCATCCGGTTCGGGATCCGTTTTTGGGATCCATAATACGGATCAAATATTTGTAGGGATATTCGGTAAGCCATCGGACGACTTCAGGTACCGAGTTCTCGAATCCCGATCCGAACCAACTCCCGCCCCGCCCTCAAATCTAGCTCTACTAAAAGTTCCCCCCTCCCCCCCTCCGACACTTTTGGACTGCGCACGGGGAACATTAAGTTGCTCCCTCACAACCTCCTCCCAATTCAATTCAACTTTCTTCTGGCCCGTCAACCCCGCGAAAAGTGTTGGTTCGAGTCTACTTGTCTGTTCGTGATCTTTCTGTATTCTGTACCGCCCGACGAAGCAGCTTCTTCTGCAGTAGTGTATGGAAGAAAAGAAAAAGGTCCTTGACGGCCCTGTTTTGGTCAATTTCAGTGTAACGCAGATGGGTGACGAGCGTCGTCTTCTCCCCTGCCCTGTATGAGTGAGGGCCCACACGAAGAGGCCAAGAGTTGAGGAGCGAAGGTCTTATATATATATAAAACAAGAGAAAGGGAGATAGAGATACCGATACCGCCCAACATTTCGAATGGATGGATGAGTGAAGAGGCAGCGTAAAGTCTTACCATCCACCCTCGTTCGTTCGTTCGTTTCCTTGTTCTAGACAGATGGCCGTTGTAGGGGGCAGCTGTTGTAGAGCATCGGGCGACGTCAGGAATTCAGTTGATCTACTAGCTCCCGTGTAACATTTACGCATCTTCAGTTTGGCATAACGATGAAATCAGGGATCTACAAAAGCGTTTTTCCAGATCAAAACCTGAGCATGAGCCATAGAGTGAGACGCGCCAACCCCCACACATGCATAACGGGTACCGGCGGCGATTTTATGGCCTGATCTGTCCCGTTGCTTTGATCCCTGGGCGATAAAAAGAAACAGTAAAGACCGCCCAAATAGGTACTAACTAGGGAAAATACTAAACCCTCGGCTATTTATATTTTGTGTACGCATCATCGAAATAAATATCCAATATAATTTCGACGAGTCGCGCCAACTGTCTGACATGCAAGTTTTCGAACTTTTTTCTTATCATTGCTCTTTATAGGAGGGTACTCCGCCTTCGTTCAGATACAGAGTCCCCCGATGGCGGATCTAAAATCGGGCCCCAACGCGTTTCAGGTTCTCGCTTCCCGCCCTCGATCTTTAGTCTGAATAGGGGACTGCCAGCTTATCGACGAGCGTTGCTAGTCGGGGGTGGCGCTGTGCCTGATTGACACTCAGTTTTTCCGACATCCCTCACGCCGTTCAACTCGACGCCGTGTCTATTTATGCACGATTTTTTCCCCCCCAAACCAGAGTCGAGGTGCAGGATTCGATCCCAGCGCAGCACTCTATTCCAAGGTGACGCATCCGCAGTGTCTACCCACCCTTCCTTGAATTGAGAGCGCAGTCTCTCCAACGTGGGAAAAAGACGTTCGAAGCATCGCCTGCCTCTTTTCCCATTCCCGCTCAGCTATTCTGGATATCGTTTGCTTGCTGCGCGGTTGTGCTCAGATAGACATATGGAGTCTGTTAAGTGCTATTCCTTAATAGGGATTCCATAAAGTCGCATTTGAGTAAGAGGAAGAGGAAGAGTTAAATCAGGTAGGGCGTTTCCCATCATTTTGTATGCGGGGATATATCATCGCATCATTCCGTGAGCGCATCATTCCGGCTAGAGGACACGCAGAGCCGGCCGGGATGACGAGTCAAGCCGCAAGTAGTAGTAGTAGTACTCACCAGCGCCAAAATGCTCCCATCATGACTCTGTGAGATTGTGAGTCCTTATTCGAATTCTGTGAGCATTATCCTCTGTGATGATGGGAAAGATTGTCCGATATCGAATAAATTTTTGGGTCCGTGAAGATGGTTTGGATTCCAAGAGGAATCGTTGAAATCATTTGCCAATAATGTTCCCATCTTTCGTATTCATCAGCACGGTAAAGGTGGGAGCGTTTGATACATTGAAGTGGACAAGGAAGGATGAGAGAAACAAGAACAGACACACACTCACTAGTCGACGTCATCGTTAAAAATACTCATCGAGCAGCAAACTCTTCCCGTCAGAACGTCCCCTTGCCTATGAGCTGTGTCCGGATGAATGCGATCGTGGGTCATTATTCGTAAGAGTCATCCATCATTCACCAGCATCCATCATTCCGTTCGCGCATCATTCCGTCCTGGGAAAGAAGACGCACGAGCGAGGACGGGAGCCGTGTTCCCATCCCCGGCATACAGGGAGAGGAGAGGCGAAAGAAGGGGGAGGCAGATTAAAACAAAGAGCTCTGACCTCAGTGATCAGAGTCAAGTCGGTAGGATTAAAACGCGAGTCATCGTTGGCAAGCAGCGTGTGAGAGCTGTTGGTGTCTACAACTCGAAACTGAAAGACCGCATCTCATCTAAGCGTCGCAGTGCAGGGAAAGGCAAAGGTGGAAAGTAAACGCCCAAGGTGAAGAGAACGGCGCCGTATCTTGTCCGTCGGATTGAGGCCTGGCTATGTGAGATAGACGGTGGGACGAGCAGCCGAGCCTAGCCTGGGCATTGAAAAAAAGCGTAGTTTTTTCCGACGGAGGCGGCCCGGGGACGTAAGAGGAGGGGCGAAGGGGGGGGTGGGGGGTGAAATGTCGGGAGGGTATTCGGTCATCGGGGGTTACGATCCATGATTAACGTTGATGATAGAAGGGCGACGACAGGTTGGTTAGATTGCGCCACTGTGACCGAAGATCCGGCACCCGATCTAGGGCCGAAGCAAACTGGTTCGAGTTTGTGCGTGTTTGTGTATTTGTGCGTGTGTACGGGCATCTCTCGTGGGGGCCAGATAACTAGGAGAGGATCGAGGAACGAAAAGTAAAAGCTTGCCTCCCCCCCAGTGATCCTCTCTTCCCCTTATCGCTTCGCTCGTTTTACCTCCTTCCCCCTTCTCCCCCTCTCCCTCCCGCTAAACCTCGTCGGTTAAGGATAACGCCTGGAGTGAGTACGGTTGAACAGCTTCCAACTAGCAACTAGCATTGATCACTTACAGATCTCGCGACCCTTGCCGGCTCCTCACTTTCCGCCCACACCGAACACACTTTTATCATTATCATCATCATCATCATCAGCAGCAACGCTTGAGCCCAGCTCGCGACAATGTCCCACCCCAACTCTCCCGCTTCCGACAACTCGGACTCTTCCAACCCCCGCACACCCACCAGCCCCACCCTCCCACTCTCCCCCGACGCTGCCGCCCCGCCCAGCATTGCCCCCAGCAAACGCAAACCCTCCCGCCGCGCCAACACCGCTGAACGCCGTGCCACCCATAATGCTGTCGAGCGCCAGCGCCGTGAGACCCTCAACGGCCGCTTCCTCGACCTCGCCGCGCTTCTTCCCAATCTCTCCCAGATCCGCCGCCCCTCCAAATCCAGCATCGTCAACTCCTCCATCGCGCACGTGCACGCTTCCCGGCGTCATCGCCTCCTCGCAGCCCGCGAGCTTCGCGCGATGAAGATGGAGGCCGACGCTCTCAGACGGGAGCTCAACGAATGGAGGGACCGCGCTGCTGTGCCACGGGTCGAGGAGCCTGTGCGTGGCGAAGGCTTCGGGATGATCATCTCGGGCGAGCTGGAGGTCCTCGGTGTCGCTGGTGAGGAGGAGGACTATGCCGACGAGGATGGGCCTATGGGTAGTGGGTACGATGACGCTCCTCCCCCGCCACCTCCGACCGCGACCACCATGTACCACGGCCACCACCCTCACGCACATGGACACGGACACGGGCGCTCTCCTGTCATTGCGAGCCCGACTAACATGCACTTTGAGAACCCGCAGATGGGGTATGAGAACTATACGCCGATCGTGGCTCCCGCTGCTGCTGCTGCTTACTATGGAGGGTCCGCCCAACCCTTCTTTGAGGAGAAACGATTCGCTGCGCCGCCTCCTGCGTTTGACGCGTATCAGAGACCGAGGAGTGGAGGGTATGATGCCTATGAGGGGATGATCGTCGGTGGTGGGGGGGCTCCTGGTGCTGCCGCCTTTGCTATGATGGTCTGAGCATCCAACCCCGTTTCGTTATACCCTCCTGCAAAATATGTAGAACCCCCGCCGCTCTGTTGTATATCCTCTCGTAACCTTCTTTCGGACTCGAAGCCCACCTTACGCTCGTTTTCCCGCATTGAGCATTGTCTTTTTTTTTTTAATTTGATTGAAGTAGATAATCTGTATGGATGACGCAAAATCCGTATTTATTCAATGCAAGTGAGCTGGCATTCGGGTTTTGAGTTAGCCGGTAGCCGGTTTCGGGTAAGTTTATCATGGGCTTACGCTGAATTCTCGGTTGAGGCTCGGCTCTGGAACATCTGCATTCTCAAAAACCGCCGCCACCTGAATCAAATGGGGCCCCTTCTGTTCTAGGAGGGGGGGTCTTTCTTTATTCTCGGGTACATTTATATCTTGGAGTTTTTTTTTTTTTCCTTCCAGTACCTTACACGGGGAGCGGCGAGTTTCTTTCTAATCAACCACGGAAAGCTTCTTCTCTTTTCTCTTGTACCGCCCCCTCCTTTGCAAAATTCGTTCTAATCGATGACCGGGCACAGTCCTAAAGTACGGCCGACAACGAGGGGTCTATCTTCAGCTTCAGTGTATATCTACGTTCTCGAGTGGGCCTGGGGAGATACTGGGACTGTGTGCACAGCGCAGTCCTGAAGAGAAGCCTCTTTTTTCTTTTTTTAGAGACGACAAGCTGGGCTGACAGACAGTCACTTGGGGAAAATCGGTATCTGTGCTCACATGTTTCGCGGTTGGTGTACATGTACAACCCTCCCCGCCCTGCCCTTTCCTCCACCGGAAAAAAAAAAACTACGCTCTTTTTCTTACATGCTCGGCCCGACGTCAAGATAACGGCGTGCCGTTCTTTTCGCCTTGGCCGTTTACTTGTTCCACCGTTCGGTCTCTCTCAGTTTCGCCAACGATGACTCACGTTTTACATGTTCTTCCTGATTGTTGTTTCAATCTCTCTGTCCCCTGGCTCCCGTCCCTTGTCTTTGTTCTGGGACGGCACGGGACGGGGTGATGGGGGGGGTGGTTATCCGAGGGCGCAGCAAGAGAGGCAGGCAATACTTTGGAGCAAAGGCGGTGTCTGTAGGAGGGAACGATTGGGAGGGTCGTCGTGCTATGACGACCCCCCAATCGGTGTGGCTATGGATCTAACTTGCTGTTTGACTAAAGAGTGCTTTGTTCCTCGGCGTCTGCCTTCCTCCGTTTCAGGATATCACGTTTTGCTGTGTTTGCTGTGTCCTCTGTTTGAACGATTTACTCATCTTCCTCTTACGCTTGGAATCAAAAGCGACGTCATGGTACTATGATTGGGTTTCGTTGAACTTTGATGGCAGTCGTCAGGTGGGTTTTCACGAGAGCATGTTATATGTATACCGTCGGGGGTGGCGCGCATGATAGCCATCTAGGTTTCGAATTATTACGCGTAGGTCCCGGGCTGAGGGACTGTGCTTTACTTTCTTTTCACTTCAGGAAGGGAAACTGAACATCAATCAGGAGGCCTGGTGTACTACGAGAGAGGGAAGAAGAGGAGAAGGAGGGAGAAAGATGCGATGCGACCGTGAAATAGAGTACTGCTGTGATGGGAGGAGTCGTGCTATGATGGCTGTCGTCAAGTACGTTTTTACGAGAGGGCGTTTGTTACGTTGGAGAGACTGCGCTCTCAATTCGAGGAAGAGTGGGTAGACACTGCGGATGCGTCACCTTAGAATACAGTGCTGCGCTAGGATCGAATCATGCACCTCGACTCTAGTTTGGGAGGGAATGGTGCGTAAATTCAGACACAGCGTCGAGGTGAATGGAGCGATTGAATGAGTGGGAGGGAACCTGAGCGGGAGACTTGATCTGAAACATGTACATCGTTATAACGACGCGCGTCGATCTTAAAGAAGAGGTGCAGACTAAAACGTAAACGGGAGCTATTGAATTACGAGGAGGGACAAAGTGAATTCCTATGCGCAGTCCTGTGACTCTGAGGTCTTTCTTTTCAGAACGGAGGAACTGGTAGCCCCTATTAAGATTAAGAGTTGGATTCTGAATTGGTTAGAGGAGAAGATCGAGGCGGGAGCGGGAACCTGAAACGACGATTTGTAGATCAATCGGTATTTGAAACTCGTCCGGTGCCAACGAAGGCGGAGCACTCTACAAAGAGCAATAACCACCTTTCCCACGACCGCCCGGAATATCTGGAGTGAGGATCTTTTCTCAGGCGTTCACGGCTCCGACGCACTTTGAACTCAACGTCGACGATTCCTTTCTCCTGCTCGACCTTCCTACTCTTCGTAAATTTACTAGACCTCTTGTTTCCTCCTCATCCCGCCTTTCTAGCTGCTTCTCCGCTTCAATATATCAACGCTCCCACCCACCTTTGCCGCTGACGAAATGATGGAAGATGGGAACGTTTCAAATAATGAACGATTACATTACTCTTAGTCTTGCAATCAAAAGCGACTTCACGGACCCACAACTTTATTTCATATGGGGACACATCTCTATTAAGTAGGAGCCCACGGCATAGCACTTACCCGAGTTCATATATGTATGTGAGGGCGTATACCCAGGATAGGGGAGCGGGAATGGGCAAAGAGGTGGGCGTGTTGGAGAGATGTCTATATTGGGAGGAATAGACTAGGGCGGGGGGGTCGTCGTTCTATGATGGCGGTCGTCAAGTACTTTTTTTTTTCACGAGAGCGTTTATTACGTTGGTGGGACTGCGGGGGAAGATTGGACACTGCGGTGTCGGTGTCGGTGTCGGGTGTTCGCGCATATGATAGCCATCGCATGGAGGGCTAAGCAGTCTCGGTCCGAGTGGGGCCTTTGTACGCGGCGCAGGGATTTCGCCCACGAGATACCATGTCCCGTTCTACATGGTTATCTACCAATCATCCTTGGATGAAGACACGCCTCGAGTCTGATTTGGAGAAAAGGACGGTTAGTGTGGGTGTGTACATTCGGACGTGGAGGCGAGTTGAATGGAGCGATGGGAATGAACGATCGATATCGGGAAAACTGAACGTCAATCAGGGCACGGCCGGGCAGGAGAGGGAGAGGGACCTCCGTTAACCTGAAATATGTACATCGTTGTAGCGACGTGCGTCGATCTCAAGCGGAGATGTGTCTGCAGACACACCAGAGCTATTTATTGCGAGGAGGAACTGAAATACTGTGCGTACTCTCGGGATGACGACGAGCTGGCAGCCCCTATTAAGAGCTAGGCTGGAGAAGATCGAGGCGTTCGCGGCGGGAACCTGAAACGAGTTTTTAGTTCGATTTTTAGATCTGCCATCAGGCATCGGTATCTGAACTCATCCGATGGCTCACAGCGAACGCGTACAATGAACACTAGGAAACGACGACCACTGCTAATAAAGCACTGATATTGATAAGACCTCTTCCCATGATCGCCCTTAATTTCCGAAATATCCGGAGCGAGGATCTTGCGTGTTTTTTTTTTTCTTTCTCAGGTGTTCGCGGCTCCGACGCACTTTTGGCTTGGGCTGTCGTACTCACCTCCACCACTCTTCCGACTCGGCGAGAATTTACAACCAATTTGGAGGTGAAATACCTCTCACGCAGGGACATGATTCATTTGATTTGTGTTTTTTTTTTCCAATGCTGAGATGATCGCCGTCCTCTCTTCTGAGATGTCTAGATGCCGTGTTGGCGAGTCGGGATGAGGTCTAGGGGCTGGCTCACTCACAGAAGTCGAATGGAGGTGCGGAAAAAAACAGCCATACCAACCAGCACCCACCTTTGACGTGCACCGTTAACGTTCGAAAATTGTATATCATACAATTGGCGCGACTCTGTTTTGAATCTGCAAATCAGAATTGAATTAGGTTGGTCAGGGGGTTCTGAGCGTTCGGGGTACTCGGCGCGCGCATACACAAAAACATAAATAGTTCCTCCAAGTAAAGGTGCATACCTACGTTGGGCAGCGAGAAATAGGCTTTGCCGGAGAGAGGTATGGGCGAAGCGTTAGAACTGATTGGATACAGGATCCCCCCGGGAACAGAACAAGGATCAATATTCAATTCTGGAGGGACGACGAGAAACGAAACTTTAATCTGGCGTGGGAGGATAGGCTTTATTGCTAGCGGGCATTGAGAGGAGGGGGGGGTGGGTTGAAATCCGTCTGATGCTACCTCTCGGACCTCAGAAGCAGCGCCAAGAGTATTACAGTCGCCTCCCTTATAACCCATAACCCCTCCATTCCCATTCGGAGCTATGGGTCATGAGGGAGGCGACTGTAGTAATGCGTAGTATCGCTTAGTCAAATTATCTGCAGGGAAACACCCAATTTTGGAAGGGCGGAAGGGGAGATGAGCAGGGTCCGACTCGGGTATACACTAGTAACGCATCACCGGTGTTTTGTTGGCCGACCTGACCTGGGAAAAAGAAAAAAAGGACTTGAAAGAACATGCATTCCTCAACGCTTTTCTGCGTCTGATGGATTTGTTCCTTTTCTTACGAGAATGGTTATTCTTACTTGATCACCGAAAGGGGGGTGGGGGGGCACGGATTACCCGCGAAAGTCGCTGTTGAGATTTGCAAGGACGATAGTATTGGTAACCGGAAGCAAAAAGGCAAAAGGGCAGTGCGAACCGGCTCCTCCCGGTTGGAGTGATGGTAAACGGACACAAATGCCCGGGCCGGGGGTCAGGTTTTTCCCGATCCTTGTCCTATGCGCCCAGACTAATCGTTCGCGAGGTATCGATAATAACTAAATCCATTATTGTCAGGTTCGAACTTCCCTTGCTGATCATCTAGCTGTATGTAGTTCCTATTCTGGAGATATGTATCTATGCACTCGAATTGTTTGTTTCTTGATGTGGAGTTACGGAGCGATGTTTTCCTTGGCTAGACACCTTATATGAACAAAAATTCACCACGCTCTTGGCTTGAACGAAGACACTCGGAGACTTCTCTTCATGAAGGACTACTGGCTCGAGGACTATCCTTGTATACTTACACATATCTTAGAACGACTCAGTCGGTAACGTTCGATAAGGCGTGCATACTGATCATCCCGACTCACAGAGCATTCCTTATCGACTGCCTGCCAAGCACGAAGGCGGTAGGATTTCACAGACTCGCAGATTTTTTGTTAGCTCATGCTATCTTCATCGGGGGCACAAGGCTATTCGTGTCTGCGCTAGTATGCTGAAGTTCGTATGGCGTAGAAGTAACTGAGGAGGGGCGGGCTTTGACAAGGGCATGAAACACCCTCCTTTGCCGTCGACAGTCCTACTCTGTTTTTGCACTTGCCCCAGCGGGCCGTGTTTTCGCTGCGCGATGTCACCCGTCAACCTAACCGCACTTCAGATGAATTTTCATAACTGGATGACGCTGTAGACTTTTTGGCCGGGCTAGTATTTCGTGAAACGGGAAACTTAACTGGCTTTGTGTGGTCAAGCAAGATGCTTGAAACTGGCACTTACCGTTGTGCTTATGATTCTAGCTACAGGCTTCGACGATCAGCTCGAGAAAAATAAAAGTTGTCAATGGTGTTCTCTTGATACGGGGAGATGGAAGGGGCCGGGCATCCTTCATGATATGGCTGGGGATGAGGAGCCCTTGGAACGAGGACCGAGGGATAATCAGCGCCATGGTATCGGTTTCGGGTGGAATACATGATGTATGTACATGGGTATAATTGCATTTCAGATTCTATATACAGTCCACGTTGTATACTCTATGTTCAAAGATGTTCAAATCATTAGCGATTCTATCGACAGAAATTGTACAAAACTGTATTCAAGGTGCTTCAAGCTGCCCTCAAATAAGGAGATCCATGCAAAATGACTCACAGAGAAAGAATCAATCCAGGAGTCTCAAAATCAATCAAACTCTTGGAATACCTAAATGGCTCTTAATTGGTCAATTCAGCTCCAAGGCTTGATGCTTGACGTTCTGGAACCAACCACGGGGGGTTGCCCTTCGGCTACATTGGTACATCTCATCATTCCGGATCTGATAATGGTTCAATTAGATTCGATTTCCTATAGATCCCACAATCTTGCTAATCTTCTTTCATTCGGTACTCCTTTGGATGCAGCTGGTCACCACCGTTTCAGACCGCGGGCCATCCTAAGGTCTAGACGGAAGTATTCCCTCGGCGGTGATGGGTGCTATTTTAAGAATCGCGATTAGGGACAGACCGACAGGTCACGTCCGGAGGCTGGTATTTCCTGTTTACTTACTTACTATGTGATGTCTTTCGCTGCGAGATGTATTGAATCCTCAGATTGCATGTTCCACGAATGAACCCAATCGGAGCACAGTGATTGATGAAGATCCGATGTCAGGAGCTTCTCTTGTCATGCCCTTATATGTACACCTCAGCATTTGTCATGTGTCGTGCTGCAACATATTGAACGTTTCTTGATGGGAATGACAAGCCCCATAATAATCATGACGGCTGGCTGTACAATGAAGTTGAATGCCTTTGTAACTCTGCTAATCGCTGTCGCCTCAACTCCCGGTGTCCACATCAAGACGGAAGAGATCAAAACACCAAAAAAAAAACAGAAAAAATTTAGTCTGCACAAAAAGCGTTGTCATGCGAGTGGTCTACGGATTCTCTGACCAGGATGGGCTCCCATCGATCACAGCGAACACGAAGTCGGTAAAGAAAAAGAACGGGGCATCATTTCTGTAAGCGGCTCTATCACACGAAGAAGCAGCCTGTTAAGCGGACGAAAATAATTCCTGAATCTTCTATACGGGCCCACCACCTGAAACATTCCATGGCTGACTTCCGGATTCCATGTCCTGATTCGTCTCCGATACACCACGCGGAGGACGAGGTTAACAAAAGCATCCGCCAATAGGAATGCTCCATTGGTTTTACACACTCAACATCGAAGGAATCGTGATATCTGTATTTCGAAGATCGACAGTAAGACATGTTATGGATTGCAGACCATGGAGAACATTGTGAAAAGATGCAGTATAGCTTAGTGTATTTTGAATGCCATAGGTGGAAGTATGCCTATATGTTACAATGTTAATCACTCCAACTGAGATGAAGATAACTCGGAACTGAACAAACCACAAACGAAGGAGATGACACCGGAAACAACCATAGGGATCCAAGTAAATGTCGACCATGCTTCATATCCATCTACAAATACAGAGCAGGTCACTGTCGCTAGAAAGGCCTATGGCGAAAGGTGGCACGGTAAGCAATCGAGAACGTAGTCCTTCGTATCCGAGTCCATGTACAATGGTCGGTGCGGAATGGTAGACCCTCGAAAAGGGAACGCAGACACCAAGCACTCTTTTCTTCACAGATAGCAAAGGAGCCATCTGGGGATGTGCAGGAAAGAAGCAGTATGCCGCCACCACCAGAGCAAATGATGATGCACCCTCAATGATGAATAATCACCGCCACGTTTCCAAGCCTTTCGAGTCATGAATGAGGTCAACACGCTACGCTATGCTACCTCTGAAAGCACTAGTGAGTGATGCACGGGAGGAGATGAGAGAGAGGAAGAGCATGCTCTTGCGGTCGGTACCAGCCATCAGGCAATCGGTCAGCAGAGAATAGTACAGAACACGAAAATAGAACTGACAAGGTGAGAAAGTAGATTATTCCCGGATAGAACCCTGTGATGGTGATGAGACATTCCTGTCCTGCTAAAATGCCTCTGTGACATACCTGCTTCAAATGCTCCAAGCAGAAACCGAAGTCCCATCAGCGCACTGTAGCTCTTGACGCACGAGATGATCATATCCGTTCCGCCCCACCCGACCATGAGGAACGCAAACCAATGCGGAGGAGAGAAATGCTTGAGCATGTAATTCGACGGCGTCTCGAACAGTGCATAAGAAATGAAAAACACTGTCAGCACAGTGGAGAACTGGCCACTTGTCATGTCAAGGACCTCCAACAATGAGTCACCGCTGTCGGCATTAAGGATTTTTGCATTTCCCTGACAAATAATTAATTAAGAGAACGATCGGGCATCATCAGATCGGCGTACAATATTGGCGCGGGCGAGGAAATTGAGGGTATAAATGGACATGCAACTGGGGATGATCTGGAGATCCAGCTATCGAGGCAGTCTGCCAGTGAAATGAACCGGAGTCAGCTTGTTGTCCTGCTTCGACGGCAGGGGCAGTGGCAAATATACCTCTTCTCCACGACACATTCAACGACGAAGAGATGTTCGGATGTTGATATCTCTTCATTACTTGGAGTTCCCTTCTTGAAGTCGTCAGGTGATGAAAAGGGAGCAGTGCTCTTTCATTTTGGAATGCTGCGCAGGCTGGTAAGGAGGCTGTAACGATCAGTGTAAGACTTTATGAGGACAATTTGTCCTTCATCTTTGCCTTGGCGCCAAGGTATTCAACCTCCCTCTTGACGGTGCGTTCGTCCTCCAACATCTTCATTTCGTACCATTTAGTATAGCCTGCTGGATGTCGTTCGATCCTTTGTGATGCTGACAAAGGTGCTGTGAACATTTAGCATTCAATCACGAAGTATTCTTCATCTTCGTAAGCTTTCTTAAGCATTTTTTGTTTCAGATCCCATTACCTTCCTGCTTGCGAAATTTTCATACTATAGTTGGGAGTTATTACAAACATATTCGCATTGTGAGAGCCATTGATTAGGCAACGGTGGCCTCATATAACGAGCCTGGATTAACAAAAGTGATTGTAGCCGAGAATGATAAAACATACCGTAAATTATTGAAGCTTCTAGATTATTAACGAAACTGCCCGAGGCAATCTACCGCTCTATCCTGGGGATACATGAGATCGGTAGACGTCCATTTTCTTCATGCGAAAGCGTTGGATCTAGATGGTGAACAGCATGAGAAAGTCCCAAGATAAGCATAATAACGTTCCATATAGATGCCGGATTCAAAATCAAAAACCCAATGCCATCGCTGATGGAAAGATGAGACCCACAAACTGAAAATGTCGAAGGCGATAGCTCTGGCACCCTGGAACTCCCTTATGCCTATTTTGCGGCTTGTTATTGCTTCTCGCTCTTTTTGCTGTGCAACTGGCAGTCGTCCGGAAAACGGCTAGACTGGTGGGTCCCAATATCCCTGAACGCTGGCTGTTTTTCTAGGAGGAAGAAAAAAGGAAGCTCAAGAATATGACCCGGGTTCGATGTAGTTGCGAGACTGAAAGCTTGAAAGGGAATCACCGGGCCAGGCCAGATCGAGTTGTCACTGTCACTGTCACAGCTCTTCCTAAACATCATGAACTTTGTGTCGGCTTTCAGTGCTGAGTCTTTCCATGGCGGAAAGAGATGGTGAGGTGAACGCAAAAGGAATCGTACTTTTGTTGTTATCCTCTGACTGGTTCTAGGCACAAATTTCCCAAGTCGTAGGTTAATAGTAGTTTCGACTCAAGTGAACCGCCTTGGCTCATGACATTTCGCTCGATCTGAACCTTGAATGACTACTATGCTTTTTTAGGATTCTCTGCTTAACTTTGTCATTGAGCTGTGGTGCTGATCTCGGTCGACTTTGTGCCGTGGTTATCTCTGCGACTGGATCTCTTCTTAGATTCAAGCATCGTTAGAGGGAATTCTACCATCACAATATTTTTTAGCCTTAAATTTAACAGTGTTCGGTTGAGGCTCATGGAGTAGGTGAATATTAAGATTCCATGCCTTATCCTCCAGAAAGCGCTTAGATAGATTGACCGACATGGAACCAGAAGGCAAGAGGATCATTTTCATAGTCTATTCATGTGCTGAATATTATTTTCAAGGCAGAAAAAAAGATTCTACTAAATACACGGTGTTTAAAGGTGACAATGTTGTTGTCAATCATTTTCCATGGCGACTAGCGAGCTTACAACCTGCTATATTTCTTCTGTGACAAGAACCACCAGGACGACGCCCTTTCTGTTCAAGGCGAAATGTGTAAGACATCAGTCTCTCTTTCTCTCTGTTTGAGCAAGAGAATGGTCGGTGCGTGGAATAGCGTAACAACGAGTTAGGCCGGTTATATCCACAGGCCAGATCATGGATCGAATTGGTGAAGTGGTCGTATCAGGGTATTATCCTGAATTTTTTTCTGTGCTCCATTCAACTATGATGGATGTTTCAAGGATAGGTGAAGCAAGGTTAGTGAGCAGAGCTCATGCTGGCATGCCTGCTCAACATCCGTTTTGTCAGCTTCCCTTTCTCGATAATTTGACATTCTACCAGCGCCGAACACGGAGCATAAGCACGGTATAGTTCACCAGCGACAACCGACGATGATGGTAAAAGTCGTCGGTCCTTGAAACTGATCCTCTACCAGAACGCCGCCTTGTCCTTCATTGCTTTCTGGTCCATTTCTGTAAGTGAGAAAGCAGCGATGAGTTCAGGAAGGGATGAATCTCCAGGAATGAGGGGCATCTGATACATGAACACTGGAAGCCTACTCCACGGATACCAACGTGTTGGTTTTCCGTCTGCTTGTATGCTATAGCATGGCCTTCGTCTCCCAGGAAAAGACGTTCTCTCCCTCGTCTCTATGTCAGCCTCCATTACCATCGCATGCCATCCTGAGGTGGATCGATTTCAATGTTAGCATTCCATATATTACCAGAAAGGACGAAAACATACACTCGGACCCGGATGAATATTACTTTGAACACGTACGGGTGATGCAAATTAAATCACATATATGTCAATCGACAGTCAAGGGAGCCGTGCGATTCGGCGTAATGAAGATCGATAAAGCAATAATCAGACCCACGGGATCCTTCGCAGTAACATTCATGCTTCCATATGTCCACAAGAGTCCTAGATTGGTTAGAAGCAAGCAGAGGAGGAGATGCAGGGATTATTATTGCAGACAGCTATAACCCAGTGATTAATGAGTATCTCAAAATGAATAACCCAGTACGTACGGCTTACCCAAAGCAAGCAAACGTCCTTATAGGTAGGCGGTACATGAATTGCTCGGAAGAACCTCAGAAGTAACCCTAAGTTAGGGTTTAAACCAACGGCGGTACACAGAACAGCAGTGGTGGGACTGCGAAATACGACGGATGCCTCGCTCTGAGGACGGACCATGCACAGGCCGGTACCGCGAACGCACACGGTCCTTCTTGTGCATGGTCAGTGCGCTTTGGCAGGGGGCATGTCTGTTTTGCGGTACATCAAGTCTACGGCCATTTGCACATGACATGGGCGTAGGGAGCACATTTGTTTCGCGGTACATGACCGAATCTCGAAATATGCACATTCTTGTCATTTAGATTCCACATAGGTAGCGTGTACAGTCCGCGGTACATTACTGATTCTCCAATTATCACCATTCTTGTCATTTAGCAACTGCGTAGGTAGCATGTACAGTCCACAGTACATGACCGATTCTCGAAATATGTCCATTCTTGCCATTTAGAATCTACATAGGGCTCATATCCAGTCCACGGTACATGACCGAATCTCGAAATATGCCCATTTTTGTGTTTTAGAAATGGCGTAGGTAGCACATACAGTCCATGGTACATGACTGATTCTTGAAATATGACCATTCTTGCCATTTAGAAACTGCATAGGTAGCATATACAGTCTGTGGTACATTACCGATTCTCCAATTATCACCATTCTTATCATTTAGCAACTGCGTAGGTAGCGTGTACAGTCCGCAGTACATGACCGATTTTCTTTGCAGGCTTCTTTTCATCTGTCGGAGTGAAAATAGCACCGTAACAATTTGTTCAATTTGCTATCATGTCTTTTGTCAATATACTTTGAAATGATCAGAATATGTGACTAATTGTTTCATTGACATTGTATTCCAACATCTTCTTTGCTCCCCTTCTCCCTTTGTCAACTTCGATGCCGACTGGGTGATACAATGGGCTCCCCCAGTAGCATCCCTCTGTTCCCTTCCATAGTGATCGGTTCCCTTTCATCTGTTATTTGCCTTCTGATGTCCAGCTCCACTTCATCCTCCGAGGATTCCTCTTCTTCTCTGCACTCTTGGAGAATGTGATCTTCTCTTTCCTGCATGTCCATCTCTTTTTGCTTCTCTCTTTCTTCCCTCTCAATTATCGACATGATTTCCTCTTCATCCTCCCTCTCCTCCCATTCCTCAACATTCCGCAATGCTGGTATGTGGCCACTCATAATATCAAATCTCCAGTTCTCTATCCATGGATTCCAGATGAGGCGGACTGCTGAACATGGTAGAGCCTCTTTTCGAACTCGTTCCGGTTTAATCAGTTCCCCTTCTGACTTCTCATAAACACACACCTGTGTGCTATCAGACCAAACACACCACAGGAATTCATCAAATGCCCTTTTCAGTGCTCTTCGCATGTCTTTCACTTGTCTTGAAGAAGACATATCATGCACAAATCCTTCCCACATCTTTATTGATTTCATCTTTCCCCAGTTACTCCATGCAGACTGTTGTTTCCTTGCATTCAGTTCATTTGGAGTCTGGAAGATGTTGTCAAACAGTGAATCCCACTGGCTCTCTGTTCCTTCATGCATTCATGCATGTGTCAACACTCCTCCAAGATCATTTTCTTTCATGATACAGATGTCGACCATCCACCATTCATTCTGTGTCAGAGGAGAATGCTCCCATCCACATTTCACCCGTCCAACCTTCTGCAGCATGTCAGACACATATTGCTGTAGTACTTGATTCAGAAATGTCCTGGCATGCCCTGGATATTGTTCGTCATATATCCGGTCCTCTGGTGGCAGATCAGGCCTGTAGTCATATGATTTTTCTGGCATTTCTATCCATCGAGCTAGCCTTTCTGTCTTCAGCATTGGCTCCTCAGGTTGACCCTTGGCTTTCCTCGTGCACCCTATGACCTGGCCCATTGGCTTCCGTTCCACCAATTGTCACTGCTTCATGTGACTATCTTCAGAACAGAACTCATTCAGCGTCTTTCTAATGCCCAACAAATTCCAACCTGAGTCACTGGGCACTTGGATGACACTCTCGCATCGTGGTATTCTTGTACCACCTCCATTCCGTGTTGGCCATGCAATCACACTGCTAGGAATCCACCAGAGTCCTCCCTCTGCATATGGTCCTGGCTCATCCGTCCTGTCTCTCTTTCGCATGCATGGAAGGATCATGTGATGATCTTCCTGCCAGTACATTTGTGGCCAGATGGCATGCATCAACATCTTGTGTCCTGATCGCTCTTCTGGCCATGCATGAAGCAAATTGACCATAAATGCAACAAGACATGTCAGGATGACTGGATAGTAACAGTATCGCATGTCCATGTTGTGCTCTTCATTCTGCCACTGGATCAATATCGCAAATCCGAGAGCTCTGGCGGATTTAAATTGCCTGTGGATACTATTAGCCCTGATCCTCATTACTACATAGCTTCTAGAAATGGGCTCACCACCAGTCTTGCCATGGAACACAATACACCAGATCTGAGAAACTCGCAACTGGCACATCTGCGAACACATCTTCTGCATTAGCCAGCAGAACTCATGCCTCAATCCACGCATGTACATCATTATGCCATGCTGCATCTGCGAAGACACCATAGAGTTTCCCAAGAAACTCATTGTATGTGTACTTCGACTTCTTCATCAGATTGACTGCAGTAACAAACTTGGCATTGTTGCTCACCCGCATGTCATAGGTGAGGCATTTATCGGTTGTGTACATCTGGACAAAGGTTGCATTGAATTGTCCAAGCGGTGTGGTATGTGTTGTGATGTGACATCCTGCGATGGAGGTGAGGTGTGCACATGTATCTCTTTTGTAATTGTAGTAACCAAAACACATCCACTTGTTGGCTTCGGTCTGATGCATTTGCAGTAGTCTCTGTAGTGCAACTGCATGGCCATCAGAGCGCCACATAACTGCTCCCTCCTTCACAGACAGCTCAAGTGCAACATCAACAAAGACATCATCACCAGAAGTACTGAACATGTCAGCATTGAATATATGGTCCTGGTGCAGGAAGTATTCTTGCTCGGTTGCATTGCTTGGGTCATGCACTGTCAATGCCTTGATCCCTCGCCACTGAAGCAAAAAACGGTGCCTGATCCCCCATCCATCTGAATGGTGCTCCAGTCGTTCACTGAAATCTCCTAGCAATCGCTCCACATATTCACTAGGGATCAACTCTGTTAGCTTTCTTGTCTGATGACTCTGCCCACTTCCTGCCTGAAACAATTTTGAACTGTAGGTAGCAGGAAGACGAGCCGCTGTCATATCCTGATAACGTACTGCTGATTGGATGAATATTTCATAGAGCACAGCATACTCCTGGATGGAAACTGAAGGGGTTCCCTCATGCTGTTTGAGATTTTGAACCAAATTCGGTAGCAGGATATATAATGATGCATGATGGGTGACTTTGGCAAGGAAGACATTTGGAACACATCCTGGATCCATGGGATTTGTTGTGAGCTACATATGATCAGCTTTAGCATAGACTTTGACATTTAGATGATAAATGCTACCTTGCCATTCTGTGGATTGACAATTTTGAAAGGTGCTTGGATATTAATACCACCTTGCATTGACATCGTCGGCTGATATGTAGTAGCAAACTCAATCGGCATTCCCAGATCTGGAACACGATCACAGATTGCAATGACCGAGTCATAGTCCCTTGTCAATGTCACTTTTGGTTCTGGCAGGTCAGCTCCAGCCATGGTGAGATTGATGTAATGATCCTCGCTGTATTCCTCACACAATACATAGTGGAGATACTTTCCATGACGTGTGATGCTCCTTGTTGAAACATTCTGATGCATCCAAAGTTGACTACATTCTTGAACAAACTCCCCCAATGTGACATCTCTTGATGTGTGGACACCCCGAATGCGAATGTTATTCCCATCAACATCATCATCTGGATCCCATTCTCCATATCTGATTTCTCTTTGTCGATGGTGCAGAGGTCCATCATCCTCGTCACTAGAGGCTGGCCCAGGGGTGCTTCGATGGGATGACTGATGAGCTTCATCCTCTTCATCCCTCTGTTCTGGATGGTGACGACGTCTCCGATGATGATCCTCCTCATCACTAGCAGTGATTTCGGGGTGCCGGCTTCGACGGGATGACCCATGAGCATCATCCTCTTCATCCCTCTGTTCTAGATGTCGATGATGTCATCGACGATGATCGTGAATATGGGTGGACTCGGGGCACCTGCTTTGACGAGATATCTGGTGTCTAATGGCACCAACAGAAGGAGGTGTCCAGGATACTAGATGCCTGATTAGACCAATGGCTACTTTCCAGTGATATGCATACCATCATGATGTTGATCCTCATCATTGTACTCATCCTCTTCTTCTTCTTCTGCTCCTGCTTGTTCTGCTCCTCCTGCTTCTTCCTGGTCTTCATTGTCGGTGAACAAGCTACTTGTATGTCCTGATCCCCAAAAGAAACTGTCATCATCCTGGTCAGAGTTCATGCTAAAGGGGAAAAGTAGGTGGGTGATATCACTGTTTGCATCTACTTTATACTAACAAAGCAGAGCGCCACATGAAAAATTTCTCTATTTTTCCGAAGACATTCAGCTGGACATGACATTGACAGCACAATTTCTTGTCATGTCAAATTCTTGGTAATGCAAAACAAATTGTATGGGACCGCGAAGTGCGGGGGACCCATCCTTTTCAGTTCCAGGATATTTTCACCAATTGTCACTTGTATATTTAGTGACATGAAATGTATACATTACAAAAATGTGTC